CCATGGGAAAATTCCTTGACTACGAGTCATAAACAAACTAGTCTTTTACTAGGCTCCTTTGTAGACCGTCACAATATCAACGTGCCAAGCAAGAAGATCCAAGGGTTATAATACCCCAATTTCAAGCAGTACATGCAGCCATTCAAGAACACGGCATACATGTAGATGACATTTGGAATTTTGATGAAACTGGCTTTGCAATGGGGCTTTGCTCTACTTCTAAAGTTATTACTGCAGTAGAACGCAGTGAAAAGCCTAGAAGAGTTATTTAAGGCAATCTTGAATGGGTTACTATCATTGAAACTGTCAGTTCAAAAGGTGTGCATATACTACCAGTGGTTATACTCAAAGCAACAAATCAGTAAGCTGCTTGGTATCAAGAACCTGCACTCTCTAAAGACTGGTGGATTGCAACTAGTCAGAATGGCTGGACAACAGATGAAATAGGCCTCTACTGGTTGAAAAAGGTTTTTGAACCATGTTCTAGACGCTATACGACTGGCGCAAAATGATTACTCATTCTTGATGGCCATAATAGTCATCTTACTGCAGAGTTTGATAATTTTTGCAAACAGAATGCAATAATCTGTCTTTGTATGCCTGCACATGCCTCTCATCTTCTGCAACCTCTTGATGTTGGTGTTTTTGGTCCGCTTAAACGCGCGTATTGAAGGCTTCTTGAAACAAGAATGATTGCTGGCAACAATCATATTGATAAAGAAGACTTTCTGTCACTATATCTAGAAGCACGCGCTAAAGTATTCAATTCAGCAAATATATCCAGTGGTTTTACAGGAGCTGGGCTTAAACCGCTTGATCAAGATCGGGTTCTCGCAAAAATCACTTTTCAACTACATACACCAACATCACTACCATCTTTGGTTAAAGGCTCAATTCCTTCTGCTTTTCAGACTCCTCAGAGCCCTCGCCAGATTAATCGCAAGGTTCGCAGTCTTCAAAAAAGCCTTAATGCAAAAAGAAAACTCTCCAGCAGTCCAATATCTCATATTCATCATCTAGAAAAGTCAGCGCAGATGGCGATGAATACAAACCTTCTTTTACAGCAAGAAATTAAGGCTCTGCGAGCTGAAAACAAACGAAAATACAAGAAAAAGGCAAGAAGGCGTGGTCTACTAGGAAATGATACCTTTTTATCCATACAAGAGGGTCAAAATCGCGTTCAGCAGCTTGATACGCAACTTAATGAGCAGGTTGATGAGCCTACACCTGTGCCTCGCCAACGCGCTCCACCACGCTGTAGTGGCTGTGGGATTATTGGACATACTATAAGATTGTTACCTCCTGAAGCCAGGGGGCTTTCCTGTACGGGAGAACGTTCCGGAGGATCAAGGGATCCTCTGCGGCAGGCATCCAGGAACATTCCTAGGGATCCTGCAGGCATTCCTGCCTGAGGCAAGCTCCAGGCAGTATATAAAGTCCCTGGATTCTCTCTCCTAGATAGCCTTTTCCTCCCTATGGGAAAATTCTTTGACTACGAGTCATAAACAAACTTGTCTTTTACTAAGCTCCTTTGTAGACCGTCACAAAGATCCTGTTCTAATAAATAGCTATAAATTCCAGCTTTTGAATGATCAAATTTATAATTAATCAGCTATTCAATGGCTCTAGAAGTAGAAGGGAGCAGAAAGAATTTACCGCTCGCCCGTGGATTAAGTTAATCAGTTGTGGTGCCGTTAGCAAAAAACCGTGGTGTCCTTAGCAATTCTCCAAATCTTATACCTCATATGCCTCATAGGTGCTTCTTTGCTGGAAGGAAACGACGCATTTGTAGGCAAAAATTGACTGACTAAGATTGCAGAATGGCAAGATGGCCGAGTGGTCTAAGGCGATCGACTCAAGAATCATTGATTCTTTCCTAAAAAGGGTGTTTTCGATTCTCGTAAGGGGCGTGGGTTCGAATCCCACTCTTGTCAATCAATCAATTTTTTTACGGTAGGTCACTTTTCTATCCCTCTCCACCTCCCTCCCCTCTTCCTTCCTCCCTCCCTCTATTTTCCCTCTGATTGATCGAAGAAAGAATGAAAAAAAAAAAAAAAAACACCTATATTTATTTACCCTCAAAATCAATACATTTAGTAGTTCTTCTTCTCTCTCTCTCTCCACTTGTAAATTTTCGCTCGATATTTTTGGACTTTTTTTTCTCTTCTACAAATTTATTTTCGCAATTGAAATAAACAAATTGATTAAACTCAGTCATCAGTACATTCAACACCTATTCGACTAATTGGCCACCTGCAATCCCAGCGCTCCTCTATCAAGTCTTGCTGCGAGCCCTTCGTAGACATCCTGTGCCTTGTACGCCTTCGCCAGATTGTTCATGACCCTGCCAACCTCCTCTTCGTCGCGGGACAAAGCAAAATGGTCTTTCTCGACCCAGGCCTGCTCTGTGCCTTCAGTCCTGGGTCCTACGACGTTCGTGCTGAAGGTGACGGCATCAAGGATCTCTCTATGGGTGGCTTTACCAGGGACATCGGCGATTCCTTGAATAACTGCAGCCGAAGTTCTATTAGCCATGACTTCTGGATTAAAATCAACAGACCTCTCTTGTAGGATGGAATCATACCAGGTCTAATCACGGTAAACGCATCGTCAAATCCCTCGTCACCTTCCTTGTTCATGACCGGTGTATCTCTCGCCCGAATCTGCTTCGTCGCCCCGAGAACGACCAGCAAAAAGCGACCGTATCGATTGGCCACGCTTTGGGAATGCCACTTCCATGCAGCTTCTTCTTCACAATCGCCACGCAGAGACGCGCAAATGGAAGTTGCGGCAGACAGTCCACCAGAAAGAGCCAGATGGACACCCGAGGAGAAATACGGATCGATGAATGCGCCGGCATCGCCGACGATACGCAGGTGTGAGCTGCCGTACGAAGAGGCATTATAGGACCAATCTGATGCTTGTTTGATGTCGCCTTCGAGGGTTGCAGGTTCCAGGAGACGAGAGATCCCACGCGCTCCCTCGAGTGACTCTAGGTAGAAAGCTCTACTGGAGGTCACGGATGACAGCTTTTTCTTCTTTGTGGCCATCTCCTGGTTCATGACCACGCCGATGGAAGTCGTGCCGTTGTGCAGAGGAATGAACCAGACCCAGCCGCTGCCATCTACATGAGATTCGTTGTTAGTATGGCTTTTGATGGCATGGTCACGGGAATAAACAAACCCTGAAGCGCCTCAAAGTACGGCTGGCCCTCTACCGGTGTTCCCACTCCATACGGTGTCGCACCACGCCAATAGCCCCAGCTAGCGACATTCTTGAGATAGTTGTTGAACGTTCTATTTTTCAAGTACTTGGTGCTGGTGATACCGGCCCGACCGCTTGCATCAATTAGGTATTGGAAATCAATGATGCCAGTGCGGCCGTCTTTGGCTTTCCAGCTAGCAGACACCGGTCGACCGGGACTTTCGGCATTCGTCTCATCTGCAATAAACTCGATGGAAGCGACTTTAACGCCATCGAATGTTTTCGCTCCAGACTTCGCGGCATGTTTGAACATCAACTCATCGCACTCCGATCGGACGACGTTCCACGCGTAGGTTCCTGCGCCAGGATCGAGAATAAAGTCCGTGTCTAGGATGATTAGTCGACGCTTCTCATGTATAGGGTCCGCTCACAAGCCTCTTTCTGGTTATTCAACTTGAAAGCCGCTCCATTCTGCAATGACTCAGTACCGCGTGGCTATTAAAACCGTAAATAGACAAGTACCTTTCTCACAAATCCATAGTTCACGAACGTGTCATCTAGATCGATGAACTTCAAAAGCGGTCGGATTGAGGCGACGAGACTTTCACCAATATGATATCTAGACATGTAAGTGACACATCACCATGCTTCATAAGACGAGACTGTCTAACCTGGGAAACACATCCGCTTCCAGCAGCACCGTGTCGACTCCTTCCCGCGCCAAAGCTGACGCCGCGTAGGAGCCTCCTGGGCCACCGCCAATTACGAGCGCCGTCGCTTTGGTTGGAATTGACATGTCTATTATGTGGAAGATTATTCAATGTTAGCAAATTGAAGCTATGTGTTGAGAGCTGGATTTCATAGTTGAGATATACTTTATGCCGGGGAATGTGCTTCACCCAAGATATCTTTTGGAACTTTAGACGCTATTGCCCTTCCATTTGGGGTAACATATCACAAATGACGTGTAAACACCGAAATTTAGTCATGTTAGCTAGGAACTCGAATTGAATAGCTCATTCCTGAGTTACATAGAAGGCCGAATGACAACAGGGGTCACTTAAGGCTGTTCGTGTAAATTTTCATTTCCCCGATATCCTAATCTACCATCAATCACAATTACGCCATACTCCTATTGCGGGAGACATAATCTGGTTAGCTTATGTTTGATCTATGGAGATGACACATATTAGGTATTCGCAGTAGCCAAGTGCGTATCGTAGGTAAAAAGTACATCTATGTGGTCCATCGGCGCTACTGGGGATACCCATCCTTTCCCCTCCCAACAGAGCACACAGGATGAGACATGCATAATTACATAGACTGTTGAGAGAAAAACGGTGGCAGAGTGAAGGATGACGTGTAAGTCAATCTATTTGAAGCGCAATCAAATTTGTAACCTGCATGCCGAGTCCGTAGAAGGAAGCATGGTAGATGAACGATTTATCTTCACTTAGAGCTCAGCGCGTTTTTCTTTCATCTGAAAGGTATTATAATCAATAATCGACCTCATAAAACCCCAACGATCTCTTGCACTGAGCTCCGAAGGCCTCTGGGTCTCCAAATAGCGGGGAGGTACCAGTTTCCCTCTAGCTCGCCACTTGAAAAAATGACGCTAATACTCAGCTGAGGGCAGGGGACAAAAGTACTGTACATATCCAGACCCCGTCTTATTTTCTATGTACATGTTATTCTTACATTCTTTGTGGATTTAATCTACCACCTGAAGCCTTGAGGGACGCATTTTTGCTTAGCCTAGTACCTAGTTCTTCACATGTAAACTTTGCATGACTTTGACAAATATCGGGATCCTTCTACTGGAAAATCCGAGTAGGAAAACAACTCCCTGTGGAGTCTGTCTACAGAATTAACTATTTTCGATGCTGGGAATGAGACTGCCAGTCACTATTTTTCCAGGGAGTGGAGGAGCACAGCATTTCTGGATACGGCCACGCACAGGCGCCAGGGCTAGCACCCAAACTCTTCTTCCCTTTCGCTGGGAGACTTCAGTGTCTTCAACACTAACCTTAAATTTACAAGAGAGATTCCAACAGTCTGGATTCGCGATCGATCTCGTGGAAAAATATTACCGGTCTAGGATCTTGTCCGAAAAGATGGTTCACGTGCCTGGACAAACCCTATGTTTATTCTGGCCTTTGGAGGGACTAACTATCAGCTTTGCGATAAATCTAAACCAATGAATCAATCCACATGACCAAGGGGAGAACAGCAGTAAGGCGAGTTTGCTTTTGTTGATCACTCTTCCAGTGACTTTAGCACGCAGGATTGCGCAGCGCTGCACATGAAGCCGCTCAACGCAATGCAACCCACAAGCATCTCCCCGCAGGACTGTACACGTGTACGAAGCGTACCTAGATGGAGAACTAATTCTCATGTGAAGACGAGCTGGAAGACGAGCAAACACGGTTGGCATTTATTGATTATCTAGATGAGGAAATTGTCCGCAATCAGAATACCTCAGCCAGGGAAACCATCGGTCGGTGGCGAATTTGAAAAGAGGGGAATGCCGATTTAGCCGCCTTACGAGCAGGGTACCTGTCTGGTTTGATCTTGGGAAGGGATTCGATCCTGGGCGATTCGAGACCCTGAGATCCAGGAATCGACAGGGGTGCGATCCACCCATCCAATGGCGGGCTGGCTCTCATGTAGGATAGTGGCGAAAAAGCGCCCAATGCCACCTGCCACCCACACCACCTGGGATGAGCCTAAGTCCGGCCCGCTGCATTAATTGCGAAACTGCCCTTAGCATTTAGAAATATCATCCTGCGCCCGGCATCACGACTTCAACCCTTGTCATTGTCCGGCGTGCGGGCCAGCCAGCGGACAACGCCGAAATAGATGAGGAAATATATTAAACTTTAACTACACGACACATTGAACGACGCAATGGGTCATCACGGATGACGATCACCTTGGCCTATGTATTGGGCGTAGCCCAGGATTTTCTAAGCATGGTTTGCGGCAGGAAAGGTTTGTTTGAGTGAGACCTACTCCGGCGATCGCTGAGCTTATTATGCGAGATAATGATCAACGGGACAAAAAAAACCGGAAAAAAAAAAGAAATGGTCATCAAACCCGTGTATTCAGCTGAGCGAGGGCTATCATGTCATTTAGTTGTTTCCATCCTCGAGCTCGTCTTTAGCTTAGCTCGCAGCTCTGTGAAACTTTGTAGTTTTAAGGACTCTCCCAATGACAGCCAGATCGCGCTAATAAAATCGAACAGTTCGAGTATGAATTCCCTCAACTCAACATGTATTGCGATATCTGCTATCGGAAAATGTCTTGTGCCAGCAGGCCCAGAGTTTGAAGACGAGCGCCCTGCGACATCATGCTTATACAGTTGGACATCCGAATGTGATGAAGAAGCTCTTGCTTGATAGCGTATAGGTCTTTCTGGATCTTCTGAATTTCATCCTCAAGGGCCCGCCTTCGTCGCTCTTCGTCGCTCCGCTCCGCTTCGAGTAAAGCGATTAGATCGACCTGTTTCTGTCGCGATTTCCCCGCAGCCAACCGATTGCGCTCTTTATACTTTTCGTGGTATTTCTGTCGCCGTTGTTTCACCTCAGTGCTTTTTTCAAACGTCGGTCTGGGCTCGCCGGAAGGAGAATGCGCTCCGGCCGAACTTGGCTGCGCCGCTGCGTCTGTCTCTTCTTGATTTGTCGTAGAAGATGTTGTCTTACGAGGGAGAGTGAAAAGATCATGGGGATCGGAAAAAAGCGTATGAGGACCTGGAGTGCCACTACTGGCGCCTGAAGATGGTAACCCGAGGATTCGATCAAGGTCGTCCAATTCTGACATGGAGGGCTGATGTAGAAAGTGGTCATTGTTTCGCGCTAGAGGTGTCGCAGAGACATTTCTATGGAGAATTAGTGCTAGCTCATACCGAAAGATAGCATAGGCTCTTACGGTTCGAAAGCTCCCCTCGGGGCCATCGAGCTGGGCTGAGCTACCGAAGCATTTCCGCTGGCATCTAACTGCGACAGCATATCAGTCCAGTCGACCGGCAGGTCTGCGGACAAGCGAATATCGTCCATCGTGAAGTAGGCCTCGTGAATAGGGAAGCAATTGAGAGTCAATAAAGGTAGCAATTCGTGGTTTGTTGAGCTCGCAGAGGCGTTTGTATATCAAGGTTTTCTGTCTTCAGCCCCCCCTCTCCCTGTCATGGCCTGGAGCTTGCCCCATGTCGGAAAAATGTATACTAGCCGTATTACTGCATTAGATCCTGCAATCGATATGCAGCAAAGGTAAAGTGGCGTTGGGATTCCTGGAAAAGAGGGGAACTACTCAGTATCCCGCCCACCTTGCATCTAGTGCATTAGCGCACCGGCGGAGCAGATCGCTTGGAAGGAGAGAACAGATCGAAGTGCGACACCAAATAAGAGGCATCTATCTGGACTATGAATATTGGCATGAGTTGATGTTGCCGGGCGATGTTTCAATTAGGTCGGTCAATATTGTTGGTCGAAACAAAAAGATAGGGCTGTCTCATCTTGGAATACCCCATTCGCTCATGGACACATTCACGAGGACTGCTTTTAACCTATGCATGACCTCGCTTTTGCAGAAGCCATAGAAGAAAAATGTGATTGCAATATTGGCCAATTGGTCTATGTATATCAGCAGCCAGTATCTCAATAATAATGCTCCGACAAGGAACCCGTGGGAACAGGGATTCTCTGTACGCAAGCCACTCAATAGAAAATGATTGAAATCTAAACCGATTGGATTTGCTATAACAGGTGTTGGACCGGTTTTATTGCCATTAGCTCGGGGCATTATCGGAGTCAATTTATCTAGGACGCGACCGGCATCTACTATTATTAGATAGAGGAGGAAATGAAGCCTTTGATGATTGGTTGCGTAAGAACATGCCTGGCGCTTTCTACGACGTCCATAATCGCTCCTAGTGATGAGACCATGCATGAGCTGAACACCGAAGTCACAGGTTATTGATCGAACCGTAAATTATTGAAAACGTCAGTGGGGAGTTTTACACGTCATTAAAGGACCCCTGTTCTGCCTGGGCGCTAAGGCACCCCTAGGACCGGACCATGTAGATAAAAAGCTCCGGCCTGAAAACTGCGTCGCCACCACATCCAGCGCTTTTGCCCCTTCAAACAACAGAAACCAGTATTTAAACATGGACTCAGATATATTTGCCTCCAAATTACACCTTCTTTTTTGGTCGTTGTTGGCCACACCCGTTATTTACGCGCTTACTACCGTAATCTACCAGCTTTTCTTTTCTCCGCTTTCGCATATCCCCGGGCCTAAACTGGCTGCATGCACACGTCTGTACGAGTTCTATTACGACATTGTTCTACATGGTAGGTATACCTTCAAGATTGCTGAGCTGCACAAGAAATACGGTACGTGATCTCGACTCCCTTGGAATCCATCGACCCACACCATAACACAGTGTGCTAAATGTCTCAGGACCCATAATCCGCATCAGCCCTGGGGAAGTGCACATCAATGACCCTGAGTATTACGAAACGCTCTATTCGATAAATGGGTCGCGCAACAAGGACTCGTGGTTCGTTGCGTCGTTCGACGTCGCCGAGTCCGCCTTCGCCACGCTTGATCATCGCTTGCACAGACCCCGTCGTGCCCTGATCGCTCCATACTTTGCCAAAGCCCGGGTGCAGCGCGTACATTCGCTGATCCAGGATAAACTGCAGAAGCTCATTAGTCGTTTGAATGAGATTGCGCAATCAGGAAAGCCACTCAAAGTGGACGTCGCTTTCAACTGCTTCACCGCCGACGTGATCACGTCTTATACCAGCTTTCGCGCATTCAACTACCTCGATGATCCTCAAATGGTGCCTATATGGAGCGAGACAGTCCGCAACCTTGTTGAAGTTGGAATGCTCGCTCGGCATCTACCTGGCCTCTTCCCGCTTCTGGTGAGTATGGGAATGAAGTGGATCCAACGGATCTATCCGAAGTTACTCCCTGTCATCGCATTCCGGATGAAATGTGCTCAGGAGGTGAAGTTCATGTGGGAGAATGAAAAAGAAGCGAAAGAAGATTTTGAAAAGAACAGGTTGTCTCAAGAGCCAGCACTTTTCCAGGAAATGGTCGCCAAAGCCCCTAACACGCCCGATATCACCGAGGCCAGGGTCCTTCATGAGTACATTACTATTGTGGCAGCGGGAACCGAGACCACAGCGCATACAATGACAGTTTGCACCTTTCACGTCCTTAATGACAAGGAGGTTTTGCGAAAGTTACGTGCGGAGCTGGAGGTCTCCTTCCCGGAGAAGAAGGAAATGGATTTACAGACACTTGAACAACTTCCATACCTGGTTAGTTTCATTTCACGTCCAAGTATCGAACCAAGAACCTGACATAGTTAGACTGGAGTCATTTACGAAGCACTTCGGTAGGTGTTTCTTTGCCAAACGAATTCAAGCTTGCACTGATCGCATATAACAGACTATCATACGGCCTTTCCCATAGACTACAGCGAATATGTCCCACTGATCCACTAAAGTACAATGACGTGGTCATTCCACCCAATGTAGGTGTAGCTTCAGACGGAATTTGACCAGCGGCTAACAGACAGAGACCTCAATCGGAATGTCCTCCGCCCTTATCCATCACGACGAGTCCATCTTTCCCAATTCCCACCAGTTCATCCCGGAGAGATGGACCGACCTTGAAGAGAGGAAAAGGTTGAACAAGTACCTGGTTTCGTTCAGCAAGGGTGCTCGCCAATGTATTGGAATGAAGTGAGTTTAAAATTCTGCCCTCTCATTCTCTACTCCATGTACATTGATATGCTAATATCCTATGGGACAGTTTGGCCTTTGCGGAGCTCTACATGGCTGTTGCCACGGTCTTTCGCACTTTTGATATGGAGCTGCACGAGACTACTGTGGACGACGTCCGACTACACAGTGACATGATGCTGCCACATCCCAAATCGGGTAGTAAAGGCGTGAGAGTAATGATTGACCCTATCCTGTAACTAAGATGCGTGGTAGTGGGATGAGCGTATCCAACTTGGAAGTTTAGTCTAGTGAGGGAGGTGTCTTTGTATTTTGGTGGATAGACAAGATTCCTGCCTATGATTTCTTTTAGACCAAGTAGTGAGCAAAGAAACTATCTTATGCCACCAACTTCCAATCTTTAGAAAGGCCTAGTACCAAGATATTTTGTGAAAACAGAATATTAGAAACAATTCCAAGTGATAGATCTGTGTTTGGGTTTGGTTTCTTTTCTGTTCTCGTATCTCATGCGCGTATCACTTCCCACAACGCCACTATCTTAATAACAACACAATCACGCGTCCAATTTTCCGCATTTGGGAGGGTAGGCAAATCCATGAGACGTGAGGGGAAAATAGAGCCGTGGAAACTAGGAATCCTTCTTCCATTCGAACCGAATCTAATACCCTTCACCACCGCTCTCCACTCCTGATGACCAGGGATCGACGTTACCCCATTATCAGAAGATAAAGTAGCTTCTTGTTTCCTTGTTCTGTCGCTCTAGTGTATGGAGCCAAGGTACGTGGCGGGTTCACCATATGACGTGTAACTCTATTTTTTCCAGGGAAAATGAGGTGTAGAACCATTGAGAAATTTCTCCGATAGTATCCAATTTTTGAGGGTCTGTAGATTGCGAAAGACCAGCTTTGAAGATTTTGGGTTATATGACTTGAATGTATTTTTCGTCCTTTGGTGACTTTACTCAACCACCGCCTAAAGAAAACGACTTTCGCCCGCCGAAGCAATCAATGGAGTCCCGAACCAGCTATCAGTTCCCCGGTCTAAAATATAGGCACAATGCGAAGGACGAAAATTGGGCATCTATTCCACTGAAATATGCGAGGTACATTGATTTCAGAAACGATGAGTACACGGCAAAACTGCTCACCATCGCCTGGGCTATCTTGTTATTTGTGTACGAAGAGGCGGAAATCACAAAGTTCGAGCTGATTCGCAATCACAAAAGAACGACGGTTAGTACGGCGATTAGCCGCGATCAACTGTGGCAGGATATCCGTTTCCAATACAAAGATGGTGAGGAGACTGATAAAACCAAAACCGCTGTCTGCATTTTTGCAGAAAGAGATATCGAAATTTCAGCGGTGAGCAAGAATGCGTGGGAGAAACCGGAGTCAAAGCTGATATTCCTAGGAACTGCAATCAGCGTTGTTGATACAATGCTCGAACGACTTGACAGTCTCTCTGGCATATCGCCTGCATCATATGTCCGATACACAGGCACTTAACATCGCCAGCACGCTCGAAAAGATCACAGACGCATTAAAAGGACCAAACATTCCTATAGGCGCGATGAATGTTCTCAGCGAGCACAACCTCGATCAGTTATCCAAGTTCAACACTAGCCCGCGTAATGTCAAGGAGGGCTATCTACACAGTATCATTGAGAAGCAGACACTCAACACACCGGACCAAGTTGCTGTTGATGCTTGGGATGCTCAATTAACGTACAAAGAGATCGACCTCTATGCTTCGGTCATAGCCAAACGTCTCAAGTCACTCAATGCCGCGAATACATACGTACCACTGTGTGCAGAGAAGTCGGCCTGGGCTGTTGTCGCCATGGTGGGTATTCTGAAAGCAGGGGCTGCTTGTTCCCCTCTCGAGGCATCTCATCCGCGCGATAGATTGGAAAGCATGATTCAATCATGTGGTGCCACAACTGTTGTGGTGACGGCCACATACGCGTCACTGTTCCAAATGAAGGAGATTAATGTCGTTGTAGTCTCTCCCGATTCTGTATCGCCCGCAAAGGAAGACCTGAACTTGGCCGATGCTATGGTCACTCCACAATCGCCAGCCTTTCTGATGTGGACATCTGGAAGCACAGGTAACCCGAAAGGCGTCGTCCTGGAACATGTAGCCTTGTACATGAGCATCACCGCATACGCAGAGGCAAGCGACTTAACAGCCAAAACAAGGACATTTCAATTTACCTCTTTTACGTTCACAGTCAGCATATGCGATATCTTCGGCACCATGGCCAAAGGAGGGACTCTGTGTATGCCGTCCGATGAACAACGTCTGAACGATCTAACTGGAGCATTGAGAGACTCGGCCGCCTCCTTTTGCTGGCTCACTTCAACATCCCTTACCGAATTGGACCCTGATATACTCCCCGATCTCCGGTGTGTCACTGTTGGGGGAGAATCTCTTTCGCGGGACGTCGTTGCGCGCTGGGCCGGAAAGTGCCAGATCAATGTGTCATACGGCACAACCGAAACGTGTGGCTGGTGTCTGCTGAACCCTAACCTGGCTTCAGAAAGCGATTCCCGAGTGCTCGGAAAACCGATCATTCCTGCAGCTTGGATATGCCATCCAGACGACATCGAGAAGTTAGTTCCTGTTGGTGCGGTCGGCGAGCTCCTGATCGAGGGCCCATTCTTAGCGAGGGAGTACCTGGATGACGCGGAACGCACCGCAGCACAATTCATCCAGCCACCGAGTTGGATGGAGCGATTCCGACCAGGGGAATCAACGAGGCTTTACCGAACGAACGACCTGGTGCAGTATACCTCAGATGGATCTGTCAGGTTTGTAGGCCGGAAGCAAGCCCATGCGAAAATCCGTGGAAACCGTATTAATATAATTGACATTGAGCATCACATTCGACGCGCATTGGGAACATCCGAAGCAGTTGTCGACGTGGTGCATACAAAAGACGGCGTTGATATCCTCGCGGCGTTTCTACTGGCCTCTTCAGACACGGGCATGAAACAGGGCTCCGAAAGCCCCGTTACTCAGGGGGATGATGCATTCAGTCGGCGTGTTGCCAATGCTTTGCAAGTCCTGGCGACAACTCTTCCCAGCTACATGGTTCCAACTGCCTTCATACCATTGTCTCGAATTCCGCTTACGCGTACCAACAAGACAGATCGTCGATTGTTGCGTGAGGAGTCAGGGGCGCGGACAAGAACTGAGCTTGTGCAGCTTTCAACGCACAAAATTGAAAATGTGGAACCGCAACTCTCAAGGACTGAATCCATCATGCAGCAGTTGTGGTCGGAACTGACAGGCTTAGCAATCGAAAGTATTGGCCCCGACGACAGCTTCTTTCACCTAGGAGGAGATTCGGTCATGGCAATTCGGCTGGTTCCGTTGGCTAAGAAGCACGGGCTTGTATTCACTGTCATGGATATGTTTCGATACCCAAAGTTGAGAGATCTGGCATCTTCCATAAATGACCGCGGAAAGGATGAATCCACTGAGAACAGTTTTTTGAGCTTTGAGGCAGATGACCTCGTTCCAGACGCCGCAAGAGAGTGTGGCGTGAATATCGATACGATCGAAGACTTGTACCCTTGCACAGCATTGCAAGAGGGGCTTATGGCACTATCCGCACAAAGAGCTGGTGCTTATGTTTTGCAAATGGCCTGCGATATACCTTTAACGGCAGAGCTGTTCCGTTTCCTCGCTGCGTGGGAGACCGTCTTCCATTCCCTTCCCATTCTGCGCACACGAATTGTTCAGCTTGGTCGGGCGGGATTTCATCAAGCTGTCGTGAAAGAGAAAATAGACTGGCGCTCTGTAACCAGCGAGTCGCAGTGGCGCGACTGGAATCACAGACATCCTATGCAATTAGGATGTCCATTGGTGCGATTTGCTCTCCTTCAGATGGACTCCCGACCAACACGCATCCTAATTTCTGTTCATCATTGCATCTTTGATCGCTGGTCATCCTCAATTCTGCTCGAGATGATTGATAAAGTTTATCAAGGACGGGAAGTGCAGCCACAGACATTTAAAGAGTTCGTTGGATATGTGCATTCCCGTCCAGTTGAATCGAGTGACGCTTTCTGGGAAAATTACCTTCGAGATGCCCAGCACACGACCTTTCCTCATGTGCAAGACGCGGCCTATATTCCGAAGCCAACTGTAGGAAAGAATAAGGTTATCAAGCTCGGGTCCTCACGAAGCAATTTCACAGCAACCACGAAGTTACGTCTTTGCTGGGGTCTAGTTCTTGCCCAGCACACAGATAATACCGATGTGGTGTTTGGCGCTGTCTCGACAGGTAGAAGCGCTCCTGTCGCAGGTATAGAGAGCTTAGTCGGTCCGACTTTAGCGACCGTGCCATTCAGAGTGAGAATGAATCTAGAGTCCTCGGTCGCAGATGCCCTAGAGAGCGTGCAGAGTGAAAGCGCGTCAATTCTCCCCCACGAGCAACGCGGTCTGCAGAACATCGCCAAAATCTCTGCAAACACGAAAAGTGCTTGTAAATTCGAAAATATTCTGATCGTTCATGCTCCACATTCAGGCGGGGGAATGAGTCTTCTTGGGGACATGGCTGATGATAAATTGCCAGAGCTTTTCAGCTACGCCCTCACATTGTCATGTGAAGTGGTTGGACAAGATCAAGTTCATGTCGATGCATTCTTCGACCCGAAAATCATTGGCGAGAGATACGTTGAGACCTTGCTTTGCCAGCTGGGCCATGCGATGCGGCAAATACATGATGTTCCCAACTGCCGACTTGGAGATATCAGCGTTCTCAGTGCCAATGACGAGCTATTGCTAGAATCATGGAGCTCACTATTGACTGAGCGGGCTAAATTTTGTATACATGACGCTGTCCGGGACCAACGTGTAGTAGCACCTGATGCAGAGGCTGTGTGCTCTTGGGACGGATCGTTTAGTTATGGCACTCTTGATGACCTTTCGACAAAACTCGCCATTCAGCTCCACCACCGAGGAGTAGGCCCCGAAGTATTCGTTCCATTACTTTTCGAGAAGTCAAAATGGACAGTGGTCGCTATACTCGGAGTTCTGAAGGCCGGTGGTGCTTTTCTTCTATTAGACCCATCGTTCCCCAACGACAGGTTAGAAACAATTTGCAACCAAGTCAGCGCACGAGTTATTCTCGCCTCACGAGACCTGTCAGAGAGAGCAAAATCCCTTGTCACTGACAGCCTCGTGGTGGACGACACACTAAACTCGAACTCAGCACCTTCAATCATATTACCGACCACCGATCCAGCCAATGCTCTCTACGCCGTGTTCACTTCAGGATCAACGGGAAAGCCAAAAGGTGTTGTGATTCAACACGCCGCATATGCCTCTGGAGCCAAAGCGCATATAGCAGCTGCATCGATATCATCGAGATCCCGCGTTCTGCAATTTTCCTCATACGCATTTGACGCCAGTATTATCGAGCATTTGACAACCCTCATGGCTGGTGGATGCATCTGCGTTATTTCAGATAAAGAACGTAGCGACTCGTTATCAGAGGCAGTCGCGTCCAGAAACGCCAATTGGACATGGCAGACACCCAGTGTTGTTCGGACAATGAATCCTGAGGACTTTCCTTCAGTGAAACACCTTTGTTTGATGGGCGAGGCCATTGGACCCACGGAAATCAAAGAATGGGGCCAACACCTTAAGCTCATGCAAGCATATGGACCGGCGGAGTGCTCAGTGTTGGCAACCTTGCAAGCTTCGTTGAATCTGGATTCGGATTCTCGGAACATCGGATTTCCAACTGGCTGTACTGGCTGGATTGTGGATAAAGATGATAACACACGCCTAGCGCCTGTCGGTGCGGTAGGAGAGCTTCTGATTGAAGGTCCCATTGTGGGAAGGGGCTATCATGGGAACCCGGAGCAAACTGGAACAGCGTTTGTCAATGCGCCCGATTGGATAAACAGATATCGGAAGCCTGGTTCTCCAAGAGGTCGTTTGTACAGAACAGGCGATTTGGTCCAGTACGCTCCAGAGCTTGACGGGACACTGCTCTATATTTCTCGCAAGGACACGCAAGTCAAAATCCGTGGTCAGCGTATGGAGCTTAGCGAAGTAGAGTACCATGCTAGGGAAGCTATGGAGCCGGTCTGGGACATCGCAGCTGAGGTGGTCCAACATGGGACCCGGAAGATTCTTGCTCTTTTCTTTGCTGACAACTCAAAGACGAATACGCAAGAGAGTTGCCTTGTTATCTCCATGAAAGATGAGGCGCACTCTGAAGTGGCGAAGGTCAAGCATAAACTCAGCACTCGCTTACCTGCCTTCATGATCCCAACGGCGTGGATCCCAGTGTCCAGAATACCACTTTCTGCTTCAACAAAGACAGATCGGCGTCGACTGCGCCTTCTCGCAGATGATATCCCTGTGGAGCAATTCAATACTTATATCATCGACGGCAAGATTCCAAATGGACAGGCCTCAAATGGCTCCCTTCATATTGGTGATAAGCTAATGACCGAAGAGGAGCTCATGTTGTATGACCTCATTTGCGAGGTGCTCGAAAGTCAAGGCCACGAGATCGACAGGAATAAGGTTACCATGGATGAACAATTCACCGGCATTGGAGGCGATTCATTGACAGCATTGGCGTTAGTTTCACGGGCAAAGAAGATTGGATTTACCTTTACCGCGGCGGACGTGATTGCGTGCTCTTTGGGAGAGTTGGCCAGTAAGAGGGTTTGAAGAGAACTTTGTGTATAAGCTTACTTTTTGAATTGGTACCTTTCGTATTTGGAGTTTCAAAACGACCTTATACATCCGGTCAAGCGTGAGGTTTGATAACATTTGACGATCATAGACAATTCGAACAACAAGACCACAAATCTAGCTCAACTTGGCTTCAAACTTCTTCTTCTCGACGTCGGAATGTACTTGGATTTCCCTCTGCATTCCCTTGCTTCTAATCAACAATCCGCTCTCGTCAAAATCCAAAATATGAACATCATCCAGTAGTCCTCCACCAAATCGTCCCTTCACCCGAGAATAGACCCAGACCTGTAAGCCCTCCGCAATTAATCGTTGAATGTCCACCGTGAAATCCGGACTCTGCGCGAGCAGCTGGGGCCAGAACTCGATAAACTCAGACTTTGACATCGGAGGGAGGTCATCGTGTCGTAACTCGATGTCTGAATGGAGGATGGACGCAATCGAAGATGTTTCCCGCTTGTTCACGATTGTGTTAAGAAACAGTTGAGCACGAGATTTGAGGTCCATGTTGAGTGGTTGGAAGAATTTCGTACTAGAGAAGACTTGATGAAAGCTTGCTTGTCCGGGGTTCGAGGGCAAACAAACCAGGGAAATATTTCAAACAGGGTGTGAGTAAAGAATTGTAATTGCCACAGGGTAGAGTGAACTAATATAACCGTCATGCAGCTGCAATTGACGTGTAGGAAAACTGCATGACGTGTATTGCTAATGTACACGCATGTGAGATTCCATCATGGATGAACCCCTGTTCTGACAATCTCCTTTAATATCCTGTCTTTCCATGGTCTGACCATAGCCTTTCCTACCAATCTTTTACAGACAAACTCATAGCACTCGACTTTTGGCAATGACGCTGTATAATAATCCCCATGAAGAGCCGCTTGCCATTGTTGGCATGGCATGCAAATATGCTGGCTCAATCGACTCTCCATCAGATCTGCACCAGCAGGTCTTGGCTGCTCGTTCCATGCAGGGCGCCATGCCTTCGTCTCGCATGGACGCTTCATTTTACCATCATCCGAACTCCGAAGCAACCGGCACCACGTACACGAAAGGTGGATACTTTCTTGACAGAGACGTGAATGCATTCGATGCGGCGTTCTTCCAGTTGTCCGAGCTAGATGTCTTAGCTATGGATCCGCAGCAGAAGATGCTGTTGGAGAACGTGTATCATGCACTTGAAAATGGTATGGTTCTCCTTTACAGATATGAAGTTCCCCTTGCGACCGATCTTGCTAACCGGACATAGCTGGAATACCATTGCAGAAGGCCGTATCATCACTAGCCTCTGTTTTTGTTGGATGTTCAAACAACGATCATCTCGCATTGTCCAATGCCGATTTGTTGATGTCCCTCAAGGGCAAAGGAACTGGAACCAGTCCATCCATTCTTGCGAATAGAATCAGTTGGTTTTATGATTTCCGGGGGACGAGCCAGACGATCGATACCGCGTGCTCAAGTAGTCTCGTCGCATTTCATCAGGCCTGCATGGATGTAAGGACGGGGAGATCTCCGATGGTAAACATTCTTTCAAACCCCTGCTCACCTGGGTCCACGGGACTGACAACAAGACAGTCAATCGTCAGCGGCGTCAACCTCATCGAACACCCCGCCGCAACCCTCTATCTCTCCAACCTCGGCGTCCTCTCACCCGATGGACGAAGCTGGAGCTTCGACGCGAGGGCAAATGGATACGGTCGTGGAGAGGGTCTCGGAACGGTGATTATCAAGCCACTACGCTCCGCTCTACGCGACGGGAACCGCGTTCGCGCTGTAATCCGAGCCTCCGGATCGAACCAAGATGGAAGAACGCCAGGAATTACTGTTCCTAGCGTTGCTGCACAAGAGCAGCTAATTCGCAGTGTTTACGAATCCGCGGGTCTTAATCTATCGCAGACCGGGTATGTCGAGGCCCACGGAACCGGAACCCAGGTTGGCGACCCCTTGGAGGTACAGGCCATTGTGTCTGCCCTGGGCGACCGAACCCGCGACACGCCGCTCTATGTCGGGTCTGTGAAATCAGTCGTTGGCCATCTCGAAGGAGGAGCTGGATTAGCGGGTCTCATTTCTGCTGCTCTGGCGGTGGAATCGAAAACCATTCCGCCTGTGGCTGGCCTGAAGACATTGAACCCACGAATCATCCAGCGAGATGATCTGAAGTTTGCACAACAAGCCACGCCGTGGCCCAGAGACGATATTCGTCGCGCGTCTATCAACTCATTTGGGTTCGGTGGTACGAATGCACATGTTGTACTCGATGATGTCGAGGGGTTCTTAAATGAGTTTCTCGGCTCCCACTTGACAGGAACCTTGCAGGTGACAGGCGCTTCGTCGACATTGGCCTCAAAAGTGGTGAATGATCATGCAAGTTATTACACAAAGCCTGTTTCCAACGGGCATGTGAATGGTGTAAATGGTGCTTCCCACTGCAGTTGGATTCCGGAGAACCGAGTTTTCATTCTGTCAGCATTTGATGAAGCTGGTTTGGACCGGAACGCGGCGTCTATGATATCGCATCTCGAATCACTAAACTTCCAAGGATACCCAGACATGGAAGAAGCTTTCATCAATGATCTATGTCACACGCTAAACGAGAAACGTACCCTATTTGACTGGCGCAGCTACCATGTCGCTGACACTATCGAGAACCTGCAAAAGTCGCTTCAGAATGTCCGTTCACTTCGTCGATCAGCAGCACCAAAAACAATCCGGTTCATTTTTACGGGTCAGGGCGCTAATTGGGCTGGTATGGCCCAAGACCTGATGGTATATCCCTTATTCCAAAAACGAATCCGTGAAGCTGCGTTGTTTCTAAGAAACATTGGATGCCAGTGGGATCTTTACGGTATGATTTAGTGTTACCTCAAGTATTCACATTAACGAGACAGCAAATAACAAATCTGTAGACCGGATAACCTCAGAGCACGGTGACCTCAACGAGCCTACCTTTGCGCAATCATCATGTGTTGCCGTGCAAGTTGCTTTAGTGGACCTGCTGCATAGCTGGAAGATAACGCCATCAACGGTAGTGGGCCATTCTTCTGGTGAAATTGCAGCGGCTTACTGCGCAGGAAAAATCTCACGCCAAACGGCATGGAAGGTAGCCTACTGTCGAGGTCAGGTCTGTGCAAAGCAGACACACGAAGACGGCCGCATGCTCGCCACGGCTATGCCTGCAGAAGAACTAGAACGACTAATAGCCCGCGTAAATAAAGGTCTATCATCTGCAGTTCAGGTCGGTTGTTACAACAGTCCCAAGAACTTGACCCTGACAGGCAGGCATGAAGGAATCCTTCGTGTCAAAGGTGAACTGGACGAGGCGGGTGTGCTAAATCGTTTGCTTCCCGTCAAGGTAGCCTATCATTCGATCCTCATGCGACAAGTTGCTCCGGAGTATCTAGAGCTTCTGGGAGATCTAGATCTCGGTGACAAGATTAACCAGGAAGTGGGCGTCACTATGATATCCTCAGTTACTGGTCGGCCTGCACTTGCCGGGGAGGTTGAGAATGCGTTATACTGGGTCAATAATTTGGTTTCGCCTGTCCGCTTCTCAACCGCGCTCCTTACATCAATGAGAACTCCGAATACGAACGGTTCTAAAGAGGATGCACTTATTGAAATCGGACCGCATGCGACCCTTCGGAGCGCCATCAACGAGACGCTTGCAGATCATGCAGAGCTGCAGCCATTCCAATACGGAAGTCTGCTAAAACGATATGAGACCGATGGAACAACAATCCTCCACACGTTTGGCGTGCTGGCTTGTTATGGCCATGAGATCAACCTTGCTGCCCTCAATGATCGCCGATCGGGAACCAAGAAAATAGCCAAAATTCTCAGTGATCTACCGCCATACGCATTTGACCACTCACGATCTGTACGTGGCCAGACACGAAAAATCGAACACATCAAATTCCCGGCCTACAAGCGTCACGAGCTTCTTGGTGTGCCAGTTGAAGACACGAATACATTCGAGCAGCGATGGAGGAACATCCTGAGACCGGACGATATCACATGGCTGCGCATGAACAGAGTGGGTCGACATTAGCAGATCTTTGATGTAGCTAACACCATCCAGATGAAAGGAAATATCCACTTCCCCGGTGTCGCCTATCTTTTGATGGCCATGGAAGCCGCCGTTCAGCGGGCTGGAGAGGCAGAGTCGATCACCGGTGTCAGGTTAGGCAACGTGTCTATGTTGGCTCCCCTGCCTGTTTCAGGCACCCCGGAAGGGGTCGAAATCATCTCTTCAATCTACCCAATGCACGCTTCATCCAAGGGCACAGATGACTGGTGTACCTTCAGGATCATCTCGCATGATGCTGCTGAGAATTCTTGGATCGAGCACTGCGTTGGCTCCGTTCGTATAGAGACAAGTGAACAGAAAATATCCACCTATCTCGTGAAGAAGGAATCGCAATCAACCTGCGATATAAGTGTCGATATCAACCAAATGTATCAACGCTTTGGCTCTGCGGGTATGGATTTTGGAGAATTTTTGAAGAACATCCAAGATATGCATCTTTCCGCCGACCATAAAGCCTGCACAGCAACTATCGCGACGCCAGATATCCCAAAGACAGCTCATGATCGATATGCTATTCACCCATGCACGTTCGAAAGCATCTTGCACGTACTTTTACATCTTTGTGAAGCCACAAGCAGTCCCATGGTAACAAACTACATTGAAGAGATTTTTATATCGTCTCCATCCCACAAAACCGCCCCTAAGTTCCAGGCCTCAGCTGCAACGAACAGGACCTCTTCCACAACTTGGAGGTCAGATGTTATAATCACTGCCCAAAATGGAGATCAGGAAATATCCATCAAAGGCTTGGATTTGGTTCAACTTCCTCCGAGTGAGACCGAGTCATCGGAAGCCGAGTCATTCTACGTCATGAAATGGAAGCCAGATGTTCATCTTGTCACATCGGTAAAAGCTCTACGGGACTCAGCCCCCGTTGAGTTACATCAGCGCCTTCCGAGTTTCGACGATCACGAGGGATTTCAGCTCGCTTCGGCAGTCTTTCTGCTTGATACCATGGACTACATAAAAAAAGAAGGATTGCCATCCCTTCCAGACCATCAGAAATCTTTCATGAACTGGATGCAACAGGAATGTGGATTGATCGCGGAATCATCAGTTCCATTTGTTGACAGGGCCCTGGTTGAAGGCATTCGGGAGAGCCCATCGCGACGCAAAGAGCTGTTTGGTCGAGTAGCTAGCCAAAGCGCGCGAGGTGAACTCCTCGTACGGGTTGGCCTACAAATGATCCCTATTCTAGAGCAAAAGGTCGACTGCTTGGACGTTATGTTTGGGAAGGATGACCTCATGGACCGTACTTACGAGGAAGGACTTCCCGGGCACATCGCTTCTGCGGTCGCGGGCTATGTGCATTGTCTTGCCCACAGTCGTACGGATATTAAGGTCCTGGAAGTCGGTGCCGGTACTGGCAGTGCGACAAAGGTAATTCTGGACAGCTTAATGCCAACAGCTAGGCTGGATGGGGGAGGCCTTGTCTCGTCAGTCTCTACGTACCATTTTACAGACATATCAGCGGCCTTCTTTGAGAATGCGACCAAGCGGTTTCCGGACTGGGCGGGCATTCTTCGTCCACAGGTACTGAACATTGAAAAGGATCCGGCGGACCAGGGGTTCGAACTGGGATCTTATGATCTAGTCATTGCGACACATGTACAATTTAACCTTCCCAAGCTTTGCTCGTTTCTAGATACTAACAGTACATAGGTTCTTCACGCAACTGCCGACCTCAGTGTATGTTTGAGCAATGTTAAAAAGCTGCTCAAATAGTAAGTCTTCTATCTTTGGCTCACTGTACGAAATCTAACGGCCGCAGTGGTGGTGACCTCATTTTGATCGAAAATATCAAACCGGAACTAATGTGTTCGCCACTTGGATTCGGTTTGCTCCCAGGATGGTGGCGCAGTGTTGAGCCCTATCGGCAGTCGAATCCTTTGATTGACGAAGATCAATGGCACGAGGAACTACAAAATGCAGGACTTCAACATCGGCTATTAATAAAAGATACAGATGACCAGATCAACGAAATGTCTGCCTTTGTGGCAGCGAACGTACCCTCAGACCGTATCACGAAACGTCTGTTCAGCATAATTTACTCGTCCAATTATCCTGGGCAATATGACCTAGCTTGCAAGACCGCGGACGAGATGACATCGGAAGCATGCGCTGCCGTTCTAGTTGACCTAATCGATGTTTCGTCTAATCAGATCGACACAATTGGAATTATCTTACTCGGCTACCAGGGCTTAGACCTCTCTGAGCTCTCAAGCGCAGAATTTGAGAAGATCCAGTACATTCTTGGCTCTTTTACCAACCTGCTCTGGGTTTCCCGTGATATTGATGAAACACCTAAGTCTGCTTTGGCCACCGGGCTTGTTCGCACAGCTCGCTGGGAACGGGATCATGACAGCATCAACTTCCTCATGCTCGAAATCAAGCAACAGTTCGGCGATCTGCAAGGAGTCCTCTCTAATATTACTCGTGTGTGCAAGTACGCTTTTACATCAGAGGCGCTTGTGCCGCGCAACGCAGAATATCGTCTACAAGATGGGATTTTGCTCACCAACCGTTTGTTTCCAGCCTCAGGGATCAATGAATGTATCGATTCGGGGTCTAGGTCACGGTCCAAACTTGTCGAGCTGCGACATGTCACACACCCCGTCAAGCTCACCTCGGTTAGCCCTCATCAACCGAACGGATTCCACTTTATTGAGGATGAAGACTATAAACGGCCTCTTCATCCACATGAGGTGCAAATTGAAGTCCGCGCTGTAGGTATTGATGAGCAGGATGTTGACCGATTCAGCCGCTCCATCCCAGGTGAGAGCCTTGGCTGGCAGGGCGCAGGCATTGTTGTCGGTCTTGGCGCCGCTGTACAAGGTCTCCAGGTTGGCGATGCTGTCATGGCGTTGCGCACCTCGGGCGGACCCTTCCAAACATTCTTTCACGCTCATTCTGCTGCTGTCGTGAAAGTACCAACTGGCTACAGCTTCACCGAAGCCGCTGCACTCCCAGTCGCATTCTTCACTGCATATCACTGTCTCGCCAATGTTGCCAGAATCCAGAAAGAAGAAAAAGTCCTCATTCATCAAGCGACTGGAGGTATTGGGCTAGCTGCGGTGCAGATTGCTCAGTCTCTCGAAGCTACTATTTATTGCACGGTGTCGGACGACTCCCAGAGACAATGTATACTTGAAATGGGGATTCCTCCAGCCCAGGTGCTTGGCACAGAATCGTGGAAGAAGGAACTTTCTGCCGTCGCCAACAGTGACAAAGTGGATGTCATTCTCAACCTCAGCCCACGTGGAATCGAAAGCAAAGACCTGAATTGTCTCTCCTCTTTTGGACACCTGATAGATCTGCACGGGCAAGGTATTCTCGGTCCTGTGTCTGCTTCAACTTCGAACAGGACCTACTCTATTGTTGATATCCGCTCTATGGCCCTTCAAAAGCCGACAGCAGTCCAGGACACACTCCAAAATGTATCAAGACTCCTGGCGGAGCAGAAGATCCGGCCTCTTTCACCAGCTGTTTTCGGTTTCTCCGGTCTTTCGAATGCCCTTTCAGAGATCCGGCAAGGGATACCCGGCCCTTGGGTTCTTGAGCCAAGGCCCACGGATCTGATACCTGTGTGTTATTGCCCGTATTTCCCTGTTCATCAGCAATTTGCTAACATACCTAGGTTGTTATCAAACCGCTAGGAGGACACACCTTTGACCCGAACGCGTCTTATGTTCTTGTGGGCGGTTTTGGTGGTATAGGTAGGAGCGTCACTCGATGGATGGTAACTCGCGGCGCGAGGAACTTCATTTTCGTCTCACGATCAGGCGCCAGCAGTGCTCCTGCTAAAAAGTTATACACGGAGCTTCTGGCTTCTGGCTGTGGCGTGTCTGATCTAGTTTGCGACATAACCAACAAAGGAGCTGTGGTCCAGGCAATCAGCAGCTGCCAGACAACCATGCCTCCGATCAAGGGATGCATGCAGTGCTCCATGGTCCTTGAGGTACGTCTCCTCCATTCATATCCTTATTCGATCGCAGCAACATAATTAACGAATTCTACAGGACTCCATGCTCAGCAATATGACGCACACGCAGTTCCTCTCCGCGATCACCCCCAAGGTACAAGGCACAATAAACCTCGCAGCTGCGCTTTCTAACTCCCCCCTCGACTTCCTCATCCTTCTGTCCTCATCAGCCGGCATAATCGGCAACCGCGGGCAAGCCAACTATTCAGCCGCCAACGCCTTCCTAGACGCATTTGCCGCCTCGCTCGTCCAGAAAGGTTACCCCGCCACTTCGATCAGTCTCGGCAGCGTCCTTTCCGTCGGCTGGGTTGCCGAGAACCAAGACCGCCTCCCAATCGCCCTCTCCTACGGCGCTATTTCCGAGTCCCTCCTCCTCTCTATTCTAGAATACCACATGGATCCGCGATGGTGCGCCGCCCAAAGCCCTGACACATGCCATACCGTTGCGGGGGTGCGCTCCGCAAAAGACTTCCATCGCCAATCCATCCCGCTACCAGGGTTCATGGCCTATCCACTCTTCTCCCCGCTCCGCGCGATTGCTAATTCCTCTGGCGCTGAGACAGGGGAGGCTGAGGTTCCAGTGAAGCAGGCGCTTAGATCTGCGCGTTCGATCCCTGCAGCTGTGGAGGTTGTTACGAGGGCGATTGTTATGAAGTTAGCGCGTGTGATGGCCATTTCGGCAAAGGAGGTCGATCCGGCGAGGACATTGGCGTCGTACGGGGTTGATTCATTAGTGACGGTTGATTTGAAAGCGTGGTTTAAGAGAGATGTTGGGGTTAATGTCGCGTCCGGTGATCTGCTGGGGGATGTCTCTATGCAGGGGTTGGCGGAAAAGGTTGCTGGGACCAGTGAGTTTGTGTCGCTTGGGAAGTAGACAATAAATTTTGCTCGTATGTAGTATTGTTGAACTCAAGTGACCACATGTATGTAAAATGAAATTCAGAGAGATCCTATATAGAAAGAGCTTGTCTCCTATTTCAAGGCACCTTCCCACACAAAATCAATCTGCGGAGAGAAGTATATCTTGCTCACATATCAATTCACTCACAGCTTCGCTTGCTCCTGCAGACTCAACCTCCTCAACGGAGGGCCACCTCGGCTCCCATCCCCAGCCATATTGATCTCCCCTGTTCCCTTCCTTCCGGCACGCTCAACCTCCTCTTCTCCCTCAATGCGGCCTCCGCTTTTCCTTCCACACAATCGGCCACGTATTTTCCTAGCACGGGCAGGAACTTAAATGCACTGTAGCAGCTCGTTAGCACTCACCCCTTAACACCTACACACTCAGTCGCAAGAGATAAGGGAAGAAAAACTTACTGTCCCGCCTCACCCCCAGCCACAAACAACCCCTCCAACCTCGGATGCCAATCCACAATAAAATCACCCTTCGGCGTATCAGTGTACCAACACATTCTCCGATACGACCATGGCCTATCCCCCAGGGCTGGAAATAACTGTCTCAGTCCCTCCCTGAGACCCTGGTCCGCATCTTGCGGCAAGTAGCCCGTCGCGGCGTTACTTTCCGCCGTCCCGGGGCCGGACACCACCGACCCCGTCACTTGGGACTTGTGGGCGGTCGAGAACCAAGCATCGCGAGGCAGTTGTCGACTACCTTCTCAATCTGCTGGAGGGTTACTACGCAGATCTCGCTCTTCTCTTTGCGGATGTGCCGGTTGAATCCTGCAGCCCCGATTATCGCGATCTCCATGATTGCTGGATGACACGCTGCCTTTCGTTGAGCCGGTACTGACATAGACTGAACGTTACTCGGTCGAGGTAATTGCTGGCCATGTAGTGCCCTATTCGAAATGGTGAAAGAATTTCCGCCGCCTTTGTTTATCTGATCACGGGTTACTACTCGCCACGGGCATCGTTTCTCGACGGCAAAGTCCTTCTGGTCGGAGATTTCTCTGCACTACTACGGCCCTATATTGCCTTCTCTACGGACCAGGCCGCATATCAAGACTATCTGCCTTCATCATAGCCTTATTAAGCACGTTCCATACTGGCTCACCTGATGTCCCTGCTGCCTCAGCATATCTGCGATTCAGCTTACCGCTCTTTTCACTTGCGTATGAGGCTCTGCAACGCCATCAGAATGCATAATGGTAACGCAAGTCCAGATGGGTGTCCCTCAATCAGCTCTTGAACTTGTTCCTCGACCGAGGCTCGCCATGGCATTCGATCCACTAGAGAGTCGTCGTTCCACTGACTCTGCTCAAGAACGACTTTCAAAAGAAATTTTAGACAGCGAGCACTTGTAGCTATAGGGCGGATAAGAGCGAGAATGATATTCTATCTGTCTATAGATTTTATTACTCCTTCATACGGCAGTCGCTCAGAAGATAGCTGTAGACTAAAGATACTGTTAAAAATAGCTGGAATGCGTGTACTGTCTATGGTATCCGTGCCGAAGCTAGCAGGCGATTCTCAAGTGCAATGAGCGTACTCTCGCCGCGAGAGCTTCCTCCGCTGGAAAGATGCTGATTTTGGGGGGTTTAGCGTAGATCCAATTATATTATAGCGGCCTCATTGGCTATTAATGACGCAGGCATACTGGTTTTGTAAAATAATTCTGCTCCGAGTCTTTGGAGCTCCTTGAGTACTCACGTTCCTTATTCTCGAATGTATCGATCTTTCCAACGTGCCTTATTGTGGTTTCCACTCCTATGATGTGGAAGCCTTTGAGTTCCACCGGGGAAACTTACCGATTCAACTTCCTGGGCGGGTATAGGGCTCTCACACCACTTTTGGATTGTGATAGTAATCAAATGTGAGTTCATTTTTTGTCTATTACATGGCGTAGTTAACCACCGAGACGCGCTTACGACCGAGGAGATAGACGACATGCTTTTCTGAAAAGCCGCTAGGACGGAATCTGAAATAGGCCAAAAAGCAAAAGGCTGACAAGAGTGGGATTCGAACCCACGCCATCGTGAGATGAGTAGGAAACTCTTCGGAGTTGTGAATTAAGGTATACCTTAACCTACCGCCTTGGACCGCTCGGCCATCTTGCCATTGACGTCGAAAGGTTCTCTTATTTAAAGTGAAGAGCCGATGGCGTAATTTTCAACGCTCTACAAGGTTCAACATACGAGCCAAAGTCAGTAACCTTGGGGTATAGTAGACTGGACTTCTACGCGAGGCTTTAACAATCGATTGTGGGCTATGACGAGGTTGTCAATACTGAAAAGTTTCACACCGATACCACCTAGTTGCCGGGTATCTATTCCCGAGGCATGTCTCCCACTGGAAGCAAACATCACTTAAGCCTCGATTCTTGTCTGTCAGATCCTGAGCCATTATGTTCTATAATTACACTACCACGGCTGGAAAAAGAAAGAATTCAACTGAGAGTCTAACATCGTGACAACAATCACACCTCTTTTGCGGCGTACAATTCTAATATTCTATAAGGTGGACATTTTTGGCAAGGAAAAACATGTTGAACTATCACCATAAACAACAAGGGTATTAATTCATGTGGATTAAGATTAGAACCGCAAAAGGAGCAACCAACATCCGAGAATTTTTATTTTTTCATGAGTGGCATGGCCACTCAGAATGAATGGAAGGCAGTGCATGGGAAAACAAAGCTTTCACGTGAATTGACTAGCAGCACACCTAAAGAGGCTGCTTTCCTCTCGTTTCAATCGGTAGCAAAGCCATAGCAACGAAGGAAACGATCATCAGCGCGCCAGCGGCATAAATCGGGGCACTCGGATCAGCATTTCCGCTATATATGGCGATGATGGGAGCACAGAGACCAGCAATTCGATTGAGACAGCTGGCAATACCCGTTCCGGTGCCACGGTTCGGAGCAGGGAAAACCTCGGGTGTGTAGGCGTACAGTACACCATACATCATCATCTGGAAGAAGGATTCAAGCGCTGAACAGACTAGCTGCGTGTCGGAGTCTTTTGCTGCCGTGAAGCAGAAAAGCAGGACTCCTGTGATCAATGTGGAGATGGCCATGGTTCCTTTTCTACCGATGTACTTCATGTCCACGGTGTAATGGGCTAGAATGGGTCCCGGAAGACCCACAACCGCCGTGATGGCGTAGTTGCGGTACGTTTCATACACAGACGCTGAGGTGCTCAGGTACTGGGGGAGGAAGGCGTTGAAAAGGGTGTAGCCCATTCCAATGGTAGTCCAACAGAACCAAATGAGAATGGCTGTGCAAATGATCAGTTTCTGCCACAGCAAAACGTAGGGGCATGATGAACGTACTCGTGATTCCCAACCTCTTGTTGGCAAAAAGAGGAGCCACCTGCTGTAAGGAGAAGCGAGAAAGAGATCTACGAACAATCTCCACATACGACAGCTTCTCATCAGAGCGCGTTTCTGGGTGGCCTCCAATCTCGTTGAGGACGTCGGCCGTCAGCCAGGTCTTGGTTTTATTGCGGTAGGCAATACCCTGAACGGCAGCGACGGCCTCATCCTGGCGACCGCGAGACACGAGAAACTTCGGGGACTCGTAAAGCGTGAACAGCAAGAATCGACACAGAAACATGGCGAATGTGATGGCTCCCAGTGACAAAACCAGGTACCTCCAGCCCATGTTGTCTTCCTTCGTACAAGACGCAGCATCGTCGCACGAGAAGTTGGGGATAAAAGCCCAAGCGAGTAAACTGATGTTAAGGGATGAGTGTGCTGATCATGGAGACGTGACGACTTTTTTGGGTGGAACAAACCTAGCAATTAGATTACCCACAGACCAAAACACGGCCAGCGAGCTCAGAATACTTCCCGAGTCGAAGGGCAGGAATTCAAGGAAGATGGCGGCATCCACGGGCAAGTTGCCACCAACACCCAGACCAAGACAGGCATACAAAGCACAGGTTCTGGTCCCAGTTAGCCAGTAGACAATGATCGATGACCTTCGCCGTAAGATACGTACCCAACCCAGGAAGGGCCACCACCAGAAGCGAGGCCAAAGGCACCGCAGAGAAAAAGTGTTAGGTTAAACGCCGGTCGACGCCCGATGGCATCGGACGCAATACCCCAGAACGTGGCACCGACGATGAGACCGACAAACAAGGCAACGGTGGTGAAGCGGACATGAGACTCTGAGATACCGAATTCCATAGCCAGGGGGTTTAAAGTAAGTGCAACTCCCTAGATGTGGTTAGTGAATCCGCAACGGATGACCGGCTTCAAAATATGGGCGGGCAAATCCACGCCGCTCTCACCTGCAACCAAAGACTATGGGATGGTTAGCTAATTTGAGAACAAGCAGAGCTCCTTCGGTTTACTTACTTGTCTGCAATCCAGCCAAATCCGCAGAGAACGTACAATTCCCACTGGTAGCGGCCCATGCCAATGTCTTGGATAGCTCGGTTGATAATCTTCGCCTTGCCTACAGTGAAACATAGTTAGAACCTTCGCTCGTTTCTCCCCATCACCTGGGAGCTCTTCACTGGGGGAGAACAGAAAAGGTACGCGGGCCCGAACAATGGCAGGCCCGACATCAGCTGCACCTACGGTCATAGGCACTGTCCACACCCGAGGCTGCGACGGCCGACTCGACCTCCGCTCGTAAGCCTTCGATGGTTAGCACACCGGACGACGGAACGGGGCTTGCACCCTTCTCCTGCGAGGAGGCGCTGTCCAGCCTGTTCAGATTAGTTTTCGCATCGGGGTGGGATTTGGGTTCCGCGTTGGGGTCCGAGTAGGCTGGCGCAGGGGCATCCGCGAGGGGCACGACGACGTCGGGGAAGCTTTGCCGGTCTTTCCACAGAAAGCTGAGTTTATCCATTATGTCGCGAGGGGGCTTCAAGTCGCAAAGGGGAAGCAAGGTTCGGGGTCCGGTTGGGACAGGCGCAATGGTGAGAGTGGTCGCAATCGGATCTATTCGCGATTTTGCGGCAGGGCGGGATCAATGCTGCTTGGGTCCAAATCGTCGCTGCTGGGGGGAGTCAAATGAGGCGCTAGGCTGTAGAGCTAAAGCTGCACTGGATGGGTCAGAAACCGAGGGGGGGAAGTCCGTTGAGTCGATTCGAGGGCGCAATGGTATGGCGGTCCGAATGATCCACTGGTAGACAAGATCGCTGTCGGGATGAGGGTGAACTGGCGCGCTAGGTTTTCAGGCGTGGCGCGAGGGATTGCAAATGATAGAACCTGCTATGTTCGTTTAGAAACATTGTTCCCCGCATGACCTGATCCTCAACGGGGTCTGGGGTTCTGGAGAGGGAGGTGGATTATTACACGTTGGTCCCGTATACCGGAGGCAAAAAAGGAAGCGTCGCGAATGGGGATGGGTTGCTCTATGTCGGAACTAGAGATGCTGGAATACACAGCCAAACAACGAAATGTTTCCTAACAAGGCAATATAGGCAATAAAAGCGAAATGATTTTTTTCCGATCGATTCAACTGTTGACACTGCGTACTAGACTCGAAGGTAGACGCAAGGGCGACAAGGTTGGAGGCACGTATACTCCGTATATCGTATATCCCGTGGGTGAGCGGGAGATAAGCAGACGAGAGAAAGACGCTGCCGGTGAGAGATTCGCAACGGCCAAGGAGGGTCGGGGAACGGCGGCGCACCTATTTATGCCCCCATCTCCGCCATCCCATTATTTTGTTGCGCCTCCACTGCAAAACCGGATGAGTGTCGGTGGAGCTGGTTTATACCCGAACAAGTATTTGAGACCACGAGAGCCAGCACGAGCCAATCTAGACGCCGAGCGAGAGGTGGGCCCCCGTCAGCCCAGATGGTGTTACTAACCCATTCATCACCGCTCCGAGTCAGTCGCTTCTTATTATGCAAGAGCAATGACAAAAGGATCACTTCTCGGGATGCGTCATCTATACGCTCCAACTAGCGCAGTGCAATTGCTCTTGGCTCTCGGCTAGGCTGAGAAAAAGCGCGAATTTTGTTATTCCCTCACTCCTGACCCCTAGGTCCTGGTTACCTGACATTTTGCAGGCACCTCGGTGTATATGTCCGATGTAGATGTGTCCTGGGGCAGGGAACTATATGTCAGTGTTGGAGAATGCTGCGCCGAGGATCAAGCAAGTAGCAGAAAACCCAAACGGCCAAACTGTGTATTCCGTACTTCATACGGAGTAAAGCCTGGCCATAAGGTGGAGTGAATACGGAGATAATTATCAGCAGGCGGGAAACTAAACTCGGCTGAACGGTCAAGATTCGAGAGCACAAGCAGACGGCGCCAGACATGCAGGACCGATGTCAAATGTGGGTATGGTACGGAACACCAATTAATGAACAATGGCAGCTGAGAAGAATATACCGTCTATGGCGTGCTGCAAATTGTTGTTACCGAGATCGCAGGAACATCTATAAGAATATAGAACAACCTAGACTTGCATGACTACGGATAAGTCGCCGGCGGTATCTCCCGTATATAAAAGTGTACTCAACTCGAGGCAATTATCGTCATTGTCCTTTGTTCTTGATATTTCCACCCACCTTCGCTCCTATCTCGGGCGTGGGATGTAGATCGGCGTCTTGCGCGAATGGCAAAAGACGAATTGGCGACTGGCAACTCCCGTGAGCAATGACCCCTGGTCGTGCTCGTGCATTTCAAACTGTGTGTGTTTTGCTGGTGCGTTGAGCCAGTAGACTTTTTTGATTTTGTTATGGTGGAGGCTCCACTCCACAGTAGAATACGGTAGTAAAACTGGACCTCCGCTCCGGAGCAGACTCCAACCGAGCTCTCTCCCGTCGCTACCCGTGTTTCCCTGCGTACTCGTAGAGTGTAGACCAAGTCTGCACCTTGCCCGCGAATTCCGGTGCATTCTGCAGTTGTCGCTGGTCTCGATGCTTGTTTCACTCCATGAGTCTTGACGGCCCGTGACGGCGAGGACGGAGGAAGAAGGCGGGCGGACCCCTGGGGATGGGGACGCCTAGGGTTAGGGCTATCCGGTAGTCGCGGGGGCTAAAAGCGCCATCGCGTCACCCGCGGCCATCGGTTGCCATATCCGCCAATTCATACGGAGTGGATTTTTAGTTTTTTTGCCCAGAACACCGGGAAATGATTTGTCCGGTGTCAGGCCTGAAGATGGGTTCCCTTCAAGATCTTGAACATAGCTGACAGCGTCCGACGAGGAATACTCCGTACGTACACCGGTGTACATAGTAGGGATCAAGACTAGTCCCCAGATGGCAGCCAAGACGGAGGATCCACTTGCTTCATCGCCTGGACCGGTGGTCGATGGTTGTGCGAAAGGGTCTTCAATAATGTATCTCTCTGTAGATCTACTAACGTGATTCCCGGCCGACCGGTCACCTCATCAAAACTTAAAATTATCATAATTTTCAACAGTAAATTTAGAAACAAAAAAATAATAAAATTGGCTATCTAACTCTCTCAGGGCATTGGTTAATCCTGTGTCCTTTCGTATTACAGCCAGAACAAGTAAACTCGCAGCAAATGGTAGACATCTAAGGTAATTCAGGTTCAACTATAGCTTCTATAGAAGTTGGATCCAAATATATATAATTACCATTACTGTTTCTCTCAACACTAATATTATCCTAAATCTCTTCTAATTTCTCTAGATAACCCTTGTGAGCGGTCTGCTTTTTATATTTTATTCTTTTCCTTATTTGCTTTTTATTTGTTTCTTCTAATTGGTAGCATCGATCGGAAAGAAAAAGATAGTAATAAAATAATCAGACTGTCATATTGTAATAATGCTGAATCTCTCTAATTATGGGTAAAGAGAGATTATCGGATGAAAGTTCTAAGCCTAAATCGATGCGAGATTGTGATTTCTCTAGCTTTTTAATTGTTTAGAGAATCAGGGTCGCTATCACTGCCGGAAGATAGTAATCTATTTAGTGGTAGTTCAAGAGGTAATAGAGATTCAAGCTGAATATTCAACTTTTCTAACACATAATTCAAATTGAAAGAGACTAATCCAGTAGCTAAAAAGCTATTTTAGATAGTAATCTCTTTAAAAGTGTCATATCGTACTGTAAGAAAGATATCCAGAAAATCTTCTTTTTTAATCGAATTGACGTTAAGTCTTATGTATTCCGCCACCTTACTTCCGTATTGTGACTTCCTGAAATCAGGGAACTTCCTGGATTAACTTCTTGGATTGACTTCCTGAGCCAACGAACCTCCCGGTATGCAGAAACCTTCCTGGATATAGTCCTGCCTGAGGCAGAACCTCAGGCAGTACATAGAGGCCCTAGATCCTCGCTCCTAGATAGCCTTTCCTCTCCATGGGAAAATTCCTTGACTACGAGTCAGAAACAAACTTGTCTTATATTAAGCTCCTTTGTAGACCGTCACACGTATAAGCGTTTTAGAATCGCAAAATAGCTTACATCAAATGGCTGTAAGAGATGCGACGCATAAGGTAACATACAAATAGGGATAATATCATTTTCAGAGTATAGCTGGTCAAATTCCGGAGTAAGATAACTCCTATAATTATCTAGTACTAGAAAACAATGTTTTCCCTTTCTTGATCGTATATTTGGAATGAAATATATTTTTAACTAATTAAGAACAGTCTTATCGCTTGTCTAATCATTTTTCGAAATATTAACTCGCCAGTCATGTCACGGTGCAGACCTAGAATGCCTGAGGCACCTCCTCGGCGCGGCCCGGAGCGCTATATTATCCGTTCCGGGATCCGCATATCTCCCGCCTGCCTGAAGATCCTGTTGTAGCTCTCCGAGCTACGTCTTGTCTATAAACCTGTAGATAGCTTGACCCTGTAGCAATTCAGAGATACTGTGATCTATTAGCCTGCCTGCTCGCCTGCCTGCCATCAGCTCTACCACCCCGCCAGCCCGCACCTTGACAAGTCAGCTTCGTTTGGTAAAAAATCAAACTAATAATGCTTAAACACTTTACCTTTGAAAATGATATAGGGCGCTAAGGTACCTCCAGAAGCCCTTATACATTCAATTACAGTAATCCATTTGTAATTTCTGGCTTGTAAAAGAGCTCTCCGACTATAATAATCAGCAGATGTAACGAATTTTTGGGTAATATTTACTCCTATCGCGAACCCAGATTTATCGAAGTTAAAGATATCATCCGAGTCGATATCATATTTTTGAATAGTTTCTTCAACCAGTTTAAACTATAGTATGATAATTCTAGGATCTTCAAAAAGAGCCCTCTTATAGTGATATTTGCGAGATAGACGTGTCATAAGATTTGGACAGCGTTTGACGAATTCTGTAAGCCAATTTTTTTTAACAGAAAGGGTGATAGTAGAGGTTATCTTTTCACGCGATTAAAGTAGTAAATTAGCTATATCTCGCAATATAAGCAAATTGAAAGCTGCGCCTCTCGAATCCATAGAGATTAACCAATCTTCTATTAAACTTTCTTTAAGCTGGGTAAATTTATGGCCATTTGACCACATATCATGCTTGTTTTGGCGACCCTTTATTCGAGCTGAGAGGGTAGTACGTGACATTTCAAAAGAGCGGGCAGCAGCAGCAATAGAGGGAATCTTGCCATTTTTAATAGCTTCTACAGCAAGTAAAAGATGACCCTCTTGATCAATCAATTTTTGTGTTTTCTGGGGTCTTTTTGGAGGCATGGTGGTGGTTTAAAAAATGTAAACAATGGTTGCTGACCGGTCGACCGGGAATCACCTTATCATAAAATACAAGAACTCCGGAAAAGGAATCGTGCCCACCAGAACCCAGGACGTGATTTATGTCGTGCGATACCATGAGCGGTCGGAATCGCAGCGTAGAAACGTAGGGCCTAAATAAAAAAAAAATTCAAAAAATATCTATTGACTATGGCAAGATAGATATTAAACTATACTATCGTGTCCAAAGCTTCCGCCTGACGAATGAACCCCGGACTGATTGTGGCCCGCCCAGGCATCAGGCGAGCGCGACACCATCACCTCCGTCGTGAGCGTGATGCTGTCGGGGTCGCGAGATGACAAGATATATTCCTCACTATGGTTGCGGCTGTCTCCATGAGGATAAGTGGTGGTCGTGGTTGTCGTGGTTGTCGTCGGCATGATCTCTCGAGAGCCCTGATGCGGTCGTTTCTGATCCGCCTCGGCTTCCCAGCCGCTCTGGTTCCCGCTGCGCGACGTGTGGCTGCGCTGCTGACCGGGCTGAGACAGCGAATGCAGTCGATACGGTTTACTTCCGTAGGTGTACGGTCGAGTTTTGGATCGCGAGCCGTAGCTGCTCAGGACCTGCTTGAAGAGCGGCTTGAGGGTCGGTAGGCTACCGGCCATGATACCCATGTTGGACTCCACGCTGTACACGGCCTAAAGGTTAGAAAAAGGTTCCTGACTGGAGGGAGGTAAACAGGTATCTTACACAACCCAGATCGTGAGATCCGAATAATCCCAAAGAAAGTCGCCCGTGCGGCCGTAATTTGGGAGGACGGAGACTTTGACGCACGCGGCGGCACAGGCACTGCGTGACTTTCTGTTAGAATGGCCGCTCATACCAAGGGGAACGTATGATGACCCACAAGATTCCAACCCCAAGGATGCACATGAGCGACGCTTTAACTCGTCGATTGACTTGCAAATGCCTGTCAGGAGCACTTCGGTCAGCGGATGGGCCGGTTGAGCGGGAAGGCTCAAGACATACCTCAGCATAAAGACCGGCAGGATGGCAAATATGAGATCGGTAAGGATGTTGAGTGCTGGGTTGGTCAGGTTTACGCTATGTTGATGCTGGTTGAATGCGGATCTTACCGGTGTTGGTGTAGCTCAGGGCCAGCAGTTGAGGGGGCTTGAAACACTCAGATTTGACCGACTGGTCCCAAATCGTCCGAATGTCTTTGCACTGAAAGATGAGAGTCTAGGCCCCGTTAGCTTGTTCATTCCCTGTCTGCCTAGAACGTGAGGAATCAATTACAAAAAAGCAAATGGCCGTGTATAGGAACATCAGAACTGGTCCGAATTAGCGGTGCACGTGGGAAGTCACATCTGCCTGACTCACCGATCACAATCCATATAAAGATCTTGTATCCTCTGCGCGGCGCAAAGCGCAGAAGGAAAAGCCCAATGGAGATCTTAACCAGCCCGATGGCCCACATGTAGATGGCCTGCGTGGCGAAATTCAAATGCGTGGCCGTGGTGGCCGTGTCCAAAACGTAGACTGTATGTCGGCCGGCGCCGTACTGGACTTCGGGGATTATAATAGCCCATCCGGCGAGAGACTGCGAGCCACGGACATGAAGTGATTAGCGTGTGATCTGCTGTAGCCCAAGAGATCATCTTACCAGTGCCATAGTTAGGATCATTGTGTAGTCCTAGGTGTCCGTCAGCTGTGTCTGTCGTATCAGTGGTGATTGGGCCGGGATTTCTCACATCGAGTCCAACGTTGCGAATGATAAACAGACGAACGTAGACGCGAGCCAGGACCGTAATGAAGGCACATCCGGTGGCTATCGTGGTCGCGGCGAGGATTCGCGGCCCTTGATTCTCGTCTGGCAGGCCCGCACCTGCTGGGTGGGCAATGTCAGACATGACAGCGGCGGGACGTCTATCGCTGATCGATCATTGGGAGGGTCTTGCAGATAATGAGAATCTTTCAACCGTCGCTGGCAGCGATCACCTCGAGTTATAGCCTGCGCGCCTGGTGGCGATACCAAGGGAGTATGCGTTGCGACTTCTTGCTGCCGGAGTGCCAGTGCATGTTAAAGCAAGAGACCCAAAAGTGAGGCCCAAGAATTCGAGGGCACGAAAATTCAGGAACAGTTCGATCCTTCGTGCTCAAGGCCAAAAACCCTGGGCCCTGAATCCTGGCCCTACGGCGTGGCGCATCTCGACCCAACTTGTTGCTTCCTGCAAAGCTTATGGTCCACGACGTCCGCTTCGGGGACCGTCTGCTTTCAGGCCAGCTCGCTTCTTTGAACCGAAATTGTGGTCATCTCGTCTCAATTGGCCGGTTGCATTGAATTGTACGCTACTTCTTCCCTCTGGTTTGCTTCCGAAATTATGCCGCAGCTGGATATTGCCCGAAAAGGGTCCGGCGGTTTCAGACCCCTGCGAGATAGGATAGCTGTTCGCGATAGCAGCCACGCTTTCCACGGCAGTGGACCAGCGAGTTCTTTTAGCCAGAGCCTGTGCCCAAACCTGGCCAATGGGACATCAAGCCAAAGATCGTTCCAGGAAAATGAGAACTCTATCGCGCAATGACAAGGTTCACGCCTAATTTCGAGCCGAGGGATTTGCCATCCAGCTGACGGACGAGAACGGCGTACACGGACAGGATTCTGAATACTTCGAACATATGTCGTTGTATGGGGTACGAGTAAACGGTTGCCCTCTGCGGAAACCAAAGCAGAGCGCATTCGCCCACATCGCGGAGGGATACGAGAGCTGTCTCGAGGGTTCGTACGTATGCGTTGGATGCCGATCTCTTCCGATCGCGGTGGATGGACTGATCTCCAGGAATGTCAATCCCCTTTTTCCCACCACCCTTGGGTCTTCCTAGGGAGATCAGGCTCTGGACCCAGATCGCACAGGACCGGCGCAAACCCTAAGCAGCCTGCGAGGTCCACCTCCCCTTGGCAGATGGCCAGAATGCAACCATGAACGGCCGCCTATTCCGAGCTGGCGATTTCTTTCTCCCGACCCAGACTCTCAGAGCAACGCCAGTCGCTTCGCCCCGACAGGAAATCAGGGCTTTCGGCCACTCAGCCGACCAGCAGCAGCGGCGTTGACCCTCCCGGCGCTATCCGACCAGTCAGAAGTCCGGCCGAGCGTGCATCTATCCTTAGTTACATGCTTAGCTAGATTGATCCTATCGTGATCTGTTGTGCCCCTTGACCGTTGGGAGATTGCGTGGGCAACGCTTTAAATAGACGGTGCTTCCCCGACTCGATCTGCTTCTCTCCCTGTCCAGGTTCGAGCTGTCCGTCGATCCCGTGCAAGTCTGCCCGTGCCCACCTCTTGCCGGTGAATTCACATAGCCCTTGGTGACCGTCATGGTGGCCTTGCAAGTACTCAGTTTGGGGTTGCTGGCGACGCAGGCCTGGGCGATGCCCGCTGCATCTCAGCCGTCCCCCACAGCGTCGCTCCCCGATAGCGCCTCGACGTCGACAGCGGTGGCCGCCTCCCAGCTGGACCAGCTGGCCGACTTCGCCTACAATGTCACCGCGGACAACGTCGGTGGAGGCGCGGAGAGTAAGCGTGGAGGGTGCTCGTTGCAGAAATTGCGTGTCCGACGTAACTGGAGGGCCTTTTCGACGTCCCAGAAGAAAGACTACATTAATTCCGTACTCTGTCTGCAGAAGCTGCCGGCCCACACGCCGTCTGATCTGGCGCCCGGCGCCCGGACGCGATACGACGACTTTGTCGCGACACACATTAACCAGACTTTGGAGATCCATTACACGGTACGGCGGCTGCAGATGAACATGACGAAGGTGGCATTGAGACTGACAGCAACCTAGGGAACTTTCCTCGCGTGGCATCGCTACTTTATCTACGAGTTCGAGCAAGCCCTGCGTGACGAGTGCGGATATACCGGAGACTACCCGTAAGTGTCGCCTCGACGCAAGGCTTAGATTGCACATTTAACTGACGTCTCCTTTCTTTCTGCCAATCCAGCTACTGGGACTGGGGTGCCGACGTCAACAGCATGGAGCAGTCGCCCGTTTTTGACGGCAGCGAGACGTCCATGTCGGGCAACGGTGCAGCCATCCCCAACCAGCCCGACGTGAAGCTGTATCTGGGCGACAACCCGGCCATCGATCTGCCCCCCGGTAGCGGCGGAGGTTGCATCACCAGCGGTCCCTTCAAGGACTATCAGCTTCACCTTGGTCCGGCCGCTCTGTCGCTGCCCGGCGGAAACACCACGGCCGCGGCAGACCCGCTCGCCTACAACCCACGGTGCCTGAAGCGTTCGCTGACGACCGAGATCCTGCAGCGGTACAACACCTACCCGAAGATCGTGGACCTGATCTTGGGCAACGACGCCGTCTGGGACTTCCAGATGACGATGCAGGGCATTCCTGGGAGCGGCTCCATCGGCGTGCACGGCGGCGGCCATTACTCCATGGGCGGCGATCCCGGTCGCGACGTCTACGTGAGTCCCGGCGACGTCGCCTTCTGGCACCATCACGGCATGATCGATCGCGTTTGGTGGATCTGGCAGAATCTGGACTTGTCGCGGCGTCGCAACGATATCTCCGGCACCGGCACCTTTATGAACAACCCCCCTTCGCCCAACACCACGCTAGACACCGTCATCGACATCGGCCATGCCAACGGCGGCCCCATCGCCATGCGTGATCTGATGAGCACCACCGCAGGGCCCTTCTGCTACGTCTATGTGTAATCTGGGGTGGGGATGCGTGTCCGGACCGCCGGGCACCGACATGAAGAGCCGAGAACTCTGACCGGTGCCATTGTACAATAGTACCCCAGGCGTGTATAGTGAATAAATCGCCTCTAATTTTTGTAGCCCCGTGTCACCAAGAGCTCTCTAGATCTTTCTTTACTACCCATATGTTAATGAACTTGAATGGAGGCGGCAACTGTCGTCCTCGCGTTCCGTGGATCAGGGCTCTGAACTATTGCCTATGAACCGTGGTTGAGGAAAGACCAATAACCGTGGATATCCTTTCGAAACTCATAATTGAGGCTTGATGTCGAACGGAGTACGGACACGATGATCTTCAATGAACGTTGACATTCAAACGTCGGCCGATTATCGCTGACCGATGGACCATGTTTGAGGCAGCGTGCCGCTTATAATGGTATCTCGAACATTCGCTAAAGATGGCACTTAGTAGAGAGACTGGCGGGTGAGAAGCCAAAACCCAACGACGCCAACCTAGCACTTTCTGCATGCCAGTAAACGGCCTTTTATCCCTTGGGGGGAAATTGCGGTCCTGATCAATGCAGTCTTCGGTTGGTCCGCGACTGACGAGGAATGCTGCCGTTGACAAACCGAACTTCCTGCATTTCTCGGCCTTGTATCGCATGTCCTCAATCGGCAGCAAACTGTTCGGTCCTCCAGGTGCTTCATCTAAATGGAACCATCCGGTTGCCGGAGGGCAGCCTGACAATATGGATGATGTATCCCCGCCGTCGTTGACCGATTGAATTGATCCCGACAGGATTGGGCGTCTCGAGGATATAGATTCATAGACATCTACGGAGAATGATGCATAAGTATGAATGAATGAATTAACTAGTTAGTTAGTTAGTTAGTTATGCAGCAGCGACCAGGGATGAGTCAGCTCCCGGATGGACTGTCCACACCGCCTTCCCCTTCTCTCTCCTCTCCTCTCTCTTCTTTCTCCTCTTCGCTTCTGCTTCTGCTTCTTTCTTCTTCATCTGCTTCTTCTCCGATTCGCTGCTTCTTTCCAGTCCTCTCCCTTTGCATTTCATCTCTTGCTCCCGGGTCCAGCAACGAATTCATGACCCTGTGCACCGACTTCTCTGACATCATGGACTACGTGCCACGCTACCATGGATGCGTTGCTGACATTGACATGGACAAAGCAGGCTAAAGCTCCAATCCCCAGACCGAACCGGCGCCGTGAACGAACCAAATCCCCGGAGAAAGGATTACTGGCGCGTAACCGACGCTCAGACCGGCCAAGAGGGAAGACGTGGGCTACGAAAGGCAAAGTGGCCCCGCCGATCGTGCCCTCCTCCGCGTCAGCTCGACCCCCATGATATCATCGTGCCTCGCATGCTCTATGTACACCGGAGTACTCCGCGAGTCCTGAGTACAAAACTTCCGCCTCCGCTTTGGGGCTGAGCAAGAAAGGGCGGGAGTTTTTTTTTTAAAAAAAAAAAAAAAACCAAAGGAACGACCCCTGCCCCATATTGACACCGACTATGGGGTCCCAGTACTTCGAGAAGAAGTCCATTGCCAGTTTCTTGCGTGTACTGGTGCGCATGCACACTCCGATTGATCCTCACCCCGACGACGTGCTGGCCGTTCCCTCGCGCGACCCCGACCGCACCATCAAAGTCCACCTCTACCGGGATCCCGACGCCGCCGACGCGACCGAGCCCGCCCCTGCCGTCGTCAACTTTTGCGGCAGCGGATTCACCCTGCGTTATTTCGGCACCGACGACGACTACTGCCATTACATTTCACGTCGATCGGGACGCACAGTGCTCGACGTCAAATATCGTCTGGCGCCCGAAAACCCGTTCGGGGCCGCCTTCGACGATGCCGAAGACGTCGTCAGCTGGGTGCGATCGCAACCCGACCGCTTCGACCGCTCTTGCCTCTCGCTGTCCGGCTTCAGCGCCGGAGGCAATCTGGCCCTGGCCGTCGTCTCGTCGTCGCCGCTGTTCATGGCGGCCCATGACCCAGACGCTCACGACGGGTTCCACTCCGTGCTCGCCTTCTACGCCCCCATGAACCTGGCGCAGCCCACGCCGGAGAAGCCGCAAATCGACGACCGCAACCTCATCATGCGAAAGATCTTCCCGCACATCTCGCACTTCTGCCACAAATGCCTCAACCCCGAGAGACTGGATACGACCGATCCGCGATTTTCACCCATCTTCGCCGATCCAAGCAATTTTCCGTCCAAGGTCCTGATTATCACGGCGGCCCAGGACCCGTTTGCCGTCGAGGGCGAGGAACTGGCCGACAAGCTGCGCAAGGTCGAGGGACGCCAGGTCACCTGTCGACGCATGGAACGCTGCCCGCATGGTTGGGATAAGAAGGCGAAGGAGGGCACTCCGCAAGGCGACGCCAAGCGTGAAGCCTACGACCTGGCTGTCGACATCCTACGCTAGTGAAAGCAACGGACGGACGGCACTCATATTGGTTGGCCCGTTTTTATGGACTCCGGCAGTGCAGTGCAGGCACTTCGTCGATGACACTGTTATGTACAAGAAACTTCTAGATACCCCATAATGCATGACTCGATGACCGCGCTGCTAACCTGGATTCCAACTTGAACTCTCTTAAGACTAACCGTTGCTGACAGGTTAGCAGGTGGGAAGCCCCGTCAGCCGCTCGTCGGCCATCGTATTCCCGATCGGCACTAGGTCGAGGTGCCGGTCAACCTGTAGACCGTGGATTTCTTGCACGAGCTTATGGCCGTGTGATCGAACCTATCTCGGATCCAGGGCAGGTACTGCGCCTGGGCCGCGATGAACGCGGGATCGTGGTCCAGCCCCGGATACCTGAGATATTGGGCCGCCGTTTCGGGGAACGCACGGCACGTCCGATCGAAGTCCTGTTCGGCCAAGTCGGCGTACGTCAGAGTATCGTTCAATCCCTGCACGACGAGCATGGGCGCGGCGAGGCGGTGGGGGCCGGCCCCATTGTACCGAGTTTGCCAGTCCACGACGTCGGGGTGATGTAGCCAGCTGGTATTCTTGTATAATTCGGCCACCGTCAGGTTTCCGTACAGTACCGACCCCGTCTGTAGACAGCCGCGGTCGGCCAAGGGAATCCGACTGGCGACGATATCGCTCACATAGTCACCGATGCGGATGGACGGCAGGAGTCGCGCGATCGATTGCAGCACGTAGATGGAGACCACGTCGCCCACCGGCCCGTCGCCCGCCAGGCGGAACGATCGCGGAATCAGCGACAACGGACGGAGGGCAGGCGCTCCGGACACCGCGCCTAGGAACCCGCCCACCGCCGTGCCGGAGCGCGCCTGGCGTTCGTTGGTGCGCCATGCCGTCAGGCCGCCCTCGCTGTGTCCAACTACCACCCATTCGTGGCTGATGCGCTGGCGCAGCACCTTGCGCGCGGCGACGATGGCAAAGCTGATATCGGCCGCGTGCACGGCGCCGGCCTCGTACATGAACCCCTGAGGGATATCACTGCCTTGCCCGGCATAGTCCGGCGCTATCACCGCATACCCCTGTTGCACCAGGGCGAAAGGTCCTTCCCAGGAGTAGTACAGCGCGCGGTGGTTCGAGGGCGCGCATTGCCGGGTTCCTCCCGCCGTGCCATGAGCCCACGCGACCGTTTGTAACGGCCCGTCGTTGCCGGCAGGATTCGCGTACGGTAGCAAGACAAATCCGCTGACGGGGATGGGTTGGCCGTTCAGATCTTTGCTCATGTACATGAACCGCGAGAGTGTCGTGCCCGCCGGGAGTGACCATTCTTTGGACACGACGTCCGGCGGAACTTCCTCCCATCGGACGACATCGCCAGCCGCATAGGCGGACAGGTTGTGGGGACTGGCATAGAAGGGGTCCGCGGAGACGTTGCGACTGACCCACTGGGCTTGCTCGGCCGCCAGGGCAGTCTTGAAGCTGGTCTGACAATCCGCATCGCAATTCTCGGGAAAGTTGATTCCAGAGATTGCATTGGAGGCGGCGAACGAGGAAAGCAACACGAGGCGCACTAGATAGCGATACATACTGTCCTGGTAGAAGCAAGATTTAAGTCCGACAAATTCAACCCAGAGTCGAGGATGCTAGCGATAAAAAGACGTGGACCTCACAATCCTAACCGGACAATATATACTCGGCGACTATGAGAATGTGACAATCGACCTCGGCAGGGATAGTACTCCCAATACCGATCTCGATTTCCGAGCCTCAGACGAAGATTCGATCAACAATGAGGAGAAGAGGATGGTTCTGCCAATCCCTCTCTCAAACAGGGCTGCTGTTGGTGGAATTGAGACCGAGTTGCAGACGGTCACCGTCACACTAGACCCCAAAGAGCAGGTCGACCCATCGTGAAGATCGACGAATTTCATTCGGTGTCTTTTCCCTGACGTTGGGACCGTGGATCCAGGCCCTGGGTCTCTGCTTGTCCAGTGAAGTAAATGCTACTGCTCAGGGCTCGGGAGTTCTTAAAGTGGTTGGCATCCGGGAATTTGTCCCTACAGATGCAACCGCCTCTTATTCGAGTCCTGCAAATGATGCACCGCGTCCCTGGCTGCTGCTAAACTGTGGCGCGGCGCTCACTTTATGACTCCTATGCTAGCTCTTCCTCCTACTGAGCGTGCATCTTGCTCAATCCGCCTCACAAACGAACGGTCCTTAGAATAAGATCGAACCAGCCATTTCCTCGGACTGGATCTGTTACCGGAGCCACGATTTCAGGACCATGAAACTGTTGGTATTTCTGTCCACCGCAGTTACAACAATTCCACTGTCAGATAAAATCCGCGCAAGTTCGATTGCTGATTCCAAATTTGGCCGTGAGACCGGATTTCTTACAGCGTAAGTCTCTAACGATTAGAGTCCACTCAATAAACTGTTCTAATTCACCTCCATTCCATAAATAGGGCGGGCCCGGGCAGCAACTTGCAGACACCAGCGATCAGAGTGCTCTCAGGCTCTTAAAGTTCACGCAGCCACAATATCTGCAGGATGATTGCATTATGGGATCATCTCTGACAGGAGGTTTCACAGCGATATCAGAAGGGACCGGGATTGGTCCTAACCAGCTAAGCCGTGCTTTAGCCTTCGAGTTTTCGAGCCTTGCATTGTTCAAGTAGAAACTAGAAACCGGCGCGGAATACGAGCGATGAGCCTTGTTAGTGCCAGCCCGGTGGCTCTTGGCGTCTCAGAAGAGAGAACAACGGCGCCGATCAGTCGCGCGAGAGCCCACGAGAGGCTACACAGCGGTCGCCAGCGGGTCCAGGGGTGGGGGCCGGGGAGCCCAAAGTGTCGGAAGGCCTGCAGCATGGTGAAGACCCTTAAACTCGTGTCGATGATCAGGAGGTTCGGTGATAAGATGATTTTCCTGTGGAATATAAGACGACCGGGCACATCCCGCGCCGAGCGACAATGTCGTTTTCCACGCCGGGCTGCGTGTCCTGCTCCTTTCCTTCTAACCAGTTCTTCTCATGATTTCTATTTCGGTCCTCCTATGTTGGGTGAGCCTGGCCCTTGCTGTGCTGGCCACTCAGCCCTGCTATAACCTCGACGGCACTCAGGCCAAGGCCGATGTTCCTTGCCGGAAAGGCGAGACCTCGAATTGCTGCAACACAAACGATGTCTGCATGTCCAACGGCCTCTGCTACTTGCAAGGGAAACGAGGATTGGGGCTCTCCCGTGGAAGCTGCACCGACCGCAGCTGGGGGGCAAAATGCTACTCCCCATGCTGTACGTGATTGTTTCGGTAGATTTGTGCTGATGTCAAGGTTGACCTGGTCTTGATCTGCAGCCAACGATAATCGGAACACCGGAATTCCCATAATCAACGTCGGATTCAACGGTAACAACTCACAATACTGCTGCGGTGCCGTGACGTGGAAGGATGGCAAGGCGGGATGCCTTCATGGTGGCGATCCGTTCAAACTACCCTTCGGGCGCGCCATCGCAGGAGTCGCCGCTTTGGAAGTGCAGGAAAACAACGGAAATGGGTCCACTGGGAACAATGGCACAACAGAGCCCGATCCAGAGAGTTCAAATCACGACGTTGCCATTGGTGTCGGTGTGGGTGTGCCGCTGGGACTACTGGCCTTGACTGCTTTTGGCTGGGCGCTGTGGGAACGACGAGCCCGACAGTCGCTGGCACGCAATATTCCTGATCGCAATTATGCTCCGATTAATGACCATGTCGCGTACTATCATCATAGGAGCCCACCAGCCGAACTCGCCAACACGGGACTTCCGGCACAGGAGTTAATGGACACGGGGAGACAGGTCAAGCCCGATCTTCAACTTCGATGATACCTAATGGATATTTATCAGGAAGATGCGACCGCGGGTTAGACTGATAGATCTTAACAATAATATACGGGCTTGGTGGCATGAATAGAAGCTCCGACGGTGTCTTTCCCTTCGATCGAACTCGCCGTAGGTGTCGACTTCATGAAGGCCGGAGCGGACGGATTACCACATACATGACGCAAGCAAAGCTCAAGGATGATTATTGGTATTATACTTATTCAGTTACCTGCGTTCCTGGGTTTTGTTTGGGGGTTCCTTTCTTTCCTCCATCTCCCCGTCATTCGCTTTCTTTTCTTCAGCTCTGTACAGCAGCCTGTGGCCCTGACGAAGTGGCGCTGACGTGGGAGACATTGGAGTGCCCATCATACACCATTATTTCTTCTTGGCTGTCACTCGCCTGCTTTTGCCGTCGGAATCCATCCTTCAGCGGATACATGTCTCGCGGTCGACCGGGCCGCACGCCACTCGCCGTCGTCGTCGATCTCCCACGCCATTCGCTGCCTGGATTTGATGCTCCGGCATACTGGGCGCTGGACCCCCAGACACCCGGCGCAAAGCGCGTCAACAGTGAATTTAGTGCCGTCGCCGACGCCGTCACGATGGCGAGATTGACCTCCACGCCAGACACGGTATGTCCGATGTTATACGTTGGGTCCGGGTTGCCAGGCCGGAATCTCTGCGCGTAGATAGCCAGGCGAGCAATACTGAGGGCGGTTACACTGTCCATGGTGAGTGAATATTGCCTCTAAGCAAACAAGCCTAGTGTCACTTACATCACTCCCAAGCAGAGAACACCCAGAATTGCCAGCTTTTTTCCCCGACTCATCTGCAGCCGCCAAACAATGATGCATGGTATTATAAGCAACCAGATATCGGTAACTATGGTTAAGCCCGCTGAGCCCAGGAAGAAAGCAATTTGGTTGAAGCATTTCCCGCCTGTGATTACCACTCCATCCTTGATTCCATCCTTGTCCGCTCCTGCAGCTTTCTGCGCTGCCAGGTCCATAGCCGGAGCCTCATAGACGTATCGCAACGGATTGCATTGAAATAGATCGGCTAGAAAAATGGCAATGAGCAGTGCCAGGTTGACGGCAGTCAAGGCCCATAGGTTCCAGCGCACGACAGGGCGACGATCTTGCAGCCGAAAGAGGAATATGATGATCGAGGCTTTGACAATGGCTAAGATAGGATTGTACAGTAGCTGGTTGGCAAGATTATATTTCTGACCGGTGATTTTCTGCTCGATGGACTGGGGAGGAATGTCATAGATGTGGTATCCTTGGTAGGTTAACCCGGTGTCTGACTTTGGTCAGTAGGGACAAAGCGAACGGATTGGCTGTGACTCGTACAGATCCAGATTGTCACTGTCTGCCCGACAGCTAACAACCAGGCCACGACAATGAGGCTATCATCTAGGACTTTGTGAGAAGTTGTCCATGGAGTGTGTCGCAACAAAAAATGGTCAACTTACCCCAGCCAAACTGCCGAGTCAAGGCGCGCGCCCAGCATCGCAAGCCAACTACCAACGTGCTCAGAATGGGGAAAACGAGGATGATAGCATACGCTGCGTCTTGAATAGTCTCAGCCATTGCGACTCGCAGCTATGCATTATGTCTTCATGGAGGGGGAAAGGAGTATGGTACCAGGGAAGGCCAGCGAGAACAAAACCGAATCAAGGCCTCGTCCCCAACCCTTCGGTTGGAAGGTGATCAGGATCCTTTTCTTTCTGCAAACTCGAAAGCTCATACTCCATAATGCCATGCATATGAATTTGGAACCTCCGCGCCACAGGGATGAGCATCCTGGTCGTGGTGGGTCAATCCTTGGGGGCCACGATGGCGTGAATCCACCAAATCCGCCGTCTTACCGGCAGATCCAGCGGCACTCCGGTTGGTTCCATGCGAACCGACACGTTTCCACTCTCGAGATTGCGGTCTCCACCGACCTGGGTTAACAGCATGCCAGGCAGTCGTGGTCTGATAGTGAGCGGCGCCTCTCCCCGGCCACGATGGTTGGCCTAAAAAACCCGAGTTCCCCGTCAACACCCTGGTCGAGGGGCAAAACAAGGATAATTTACTCCTTACCGGCGATCCCCAGTTGATACGGAGTAGTGAAATCCTGTTCGTCATGAAGACTCCTGCTCTGGTCATCACGGCTGCCCTCGTGGTCGATGCGATTGCGGCCTCATCCTTTGACTTTGAGAATCACCCACTGCGGCCGGGCGATCTGCAGCATCTGAAGGAGGCGGAGGCGGCAATCTTCCGTTCGGATCAGAATGCGACCGTAAGATCGAGTTGCAAGGTATTCCCTGGCGATCGCAATTGGCCAGGAACCCGGGCTTGGGATTTGATGGACCAACTGACGGACGGGGGTCTCATTGCCTCTGTGCCGCGGGCCTCGTCCTGTTACAACGGGCCAAGATATGATGCGTCCGACTGCGAGTCTTTGACAGACCAGTGGACCGACTCGTACTTTCAGTAAGGCTTGCTCCCAGCGAGAACCAGAGTCATCTCTGACCTAGAATTCTAGCAACGATGACCCCATTGAGATGCTCTCGCCCGTCTATCAGGGTCTGACCTGCCAGCCAACCACGGACCCTACAGACAATTGTACGCTGGGCGGATATCCAGCCTACGCGGTCAATGTTTCCAGCGTGGCGGACATCCAGCTGGCCATTAACTTTGCCCGCCACACGGGAGTGCGCCTGGTTGTCAAGAATACCGGCCACGACTTTTCGGGGAAATCTGGCGGTGCCGGCGCGCTGAGCATCTGGACACACCACCTCAAGGGCATTGAACATATCCCAGAGTACAGCGCCCCGGGAACCAATTGGACAGGGGCAGCCTTTCGGGTGGGAGCTGGTGTACAGGCCTACGAGCTGTACAAGACGGCTGATGACTACAGCCTAATGGTTGTCGGTGGTGAAGGACAGGTAAGCTTCTGCGCCTTGCCTGCATATAACAAGCTCTAATGACGTGTATAGACTGTCGGAGTAGCCGGTAATTGCCCCGGGACACTGGTATAGGAGAAGTATTTCCGCTAACGAACAAGCAGGTGGTTACGTGCTGGGAGGAGGTCATTCCCCCCTTAGTTCCATCCATGGCCTTGCAGCAGACCAGGTGCTGTCTATGCAAGTTGTCCTTCCTGACGGGCAATTCGTGACAGCCTCCTTCACCGAAAACACAGAGCTCTTCTGGGCACTCCGTGGCGGCGGCGGCAGCACCTTCGGCGTCGTCACTTCCGTCACCGTCAAGGCTTTTCCCACTATTCCAGCCACCTCGTCGACCTTCACCTGGTCCACGGGAGCTAATTTGACACACGACACCTTTTGGGCTGGATTCCGCGCGTATCTAGACCTTTTTATCGAACATTCGGACGCAGGAATCTATTCGTACTTCTTCATTCTCCCATCCAACGGGGAGTTCACCTTCTTGATGCAGCCGTTCTTTGCTCCCAACAAGACCGTGGCCGAGACTGAAGCCCTCCTCTCACCCTGGTTCAAGCGTCTTCATGACCTAGGTATCCAGTTCACCCCCAAGACGCAGTATTTCCGCACGTTCTACGAGGCCTGGAACGCTTCATTCCCACTGGAGGTGGTTGAAAAGACCCATGTCGCCACAGGATCGCGTCTGTTCCCCCGTGTCAATTGGGAAGATGAGTCCAAGCTGAATGAAACTTTCTCCGCCATCCGCGCTTCCTCCGAGGCCGGCCTCACCTTTATCTCCTTCAACATGGCCCCGACCCTCGCCCGCGGCGGGAACCCCGACAACGCCGTGAACCCTGCCTGGCGCAAGGCCGTCATGCACGCGTTGTCCAGCGTCAATTGGAACGACGACTCGCCGGTGTCCGAGATCAAAGAGGCGCGTCACAGCTTCACGTATACGCATATGCAGCGGTGGCGTGATGTGAGCCCGGGAGCAGGGTCGTACCTGGGCGAGAGCGATCGCATGGAACCGAATTTCCAGCAGTCGTTCTACGGGGATCATTATGACCGTCTGTTGAAGTTGAAGCGAAGAGTGGATCCCTATGATGTGTTCTGGGCTGCTACGGCCGTGGGCAGTGACCGGTGGACGGTCAAGACGGAGGATGGCTTACCGACGGAGAATGGTAAATTGTGCCGGACATAGACATAGGGGTAGTTACTTAAAATTTGTAATATTAATTATCAATCATGCCCTGGGAATTGGCCTGCTTGCTGAAACTTTAATGTGTGTTAGCCTGACGGTGGCGTTCTTCACGACCTCTAGAGCCCTCGTCCCGGCTAATATGCATTAAATTTGGTGCTAACTAACAATGAAGCTGCTTGGAACTAGTTAGTCGCTGTCAGGAACAAACTGACCCATTTTTCGGTGCGCTCTGGTCGTGCGCTGGCGGTGTACTCCGTGCTCATTAGTTATTGACCAAGTATGCTAGTTAAATGAACTGGTGTGCAGGATAAATTGCTTTTCATTCCGCCGTTCCTTGCCCAGCTAACTAGCTGCATTAGCCCAGGAAAGGGACGCACTAAATCCTGACTCTGTCACTAACGCCTTTCACTAACTCGCTTCCACTACGTTGATCATAATCAAACATATTGAGGTCGGGGTGGGTATGCTCACTGTGAAAGTGTGAATGATAAGTTAATAAATGATAATGGATATGAACAGTAATAACCACCAGGTCTGTATTAGGGTTTGTGAATGACGCATCCAAACAGTCGGGCCAACTTTTAATCAGAGAAATACCTCGTAAGAGATATTAATTGGTGCGAACCAGTTTCCGTGGGGGTAACAGTGGATCCTGTCTGCATAACAAATTAACAATGCCTACTCCGTAACTACGGTGTAATGCTATGATAAGCAAACGTCTTACTCCGAACGGGATCGGGGGCAAAGCCACAAGCGCAATCCCGGGGGCCCTAACTGTTCAATAATAATGAAATGAAGGAGCAACTGTCGACTGAGTTCTAACATAGTTACACATGCTTGTCTCGCTCACCTCTAGGTACTCGATCTTCGCGTATGCTGCTATCTTCCCGGTGGCTTCTGATGAGTGAAGATGCGATACGCCCATCATAATTAAGTCCTCCACTGCCTTCAGGCTAGGCTCGACCCCTATTACCGGTCGTGAAAGCCTAGTGGGTTGGATTTTTTGTCAATTCTTGGACGCAGAATCCAAGGGTTTGAGGAATAGCAGTGAAACCCGGCTTACTGGAGGTCTCATTCTGTTTTGCGAGGGTTTTCTTATTAATGCGAAGCTATCAGCCAGCTTCCGTTCATTTCATGATACTAACCGTTCTTCCAATGCAGGCAGACCCTCTCGATCATGTGTTTCATATTCCCACGTTATAGTAGACCGGCGTCGAGCGGGAGAAAACAGGCTCCCTACCAGCTCGTGTCAATAGCACAGATTTCCAGTTTGCCCGTCCCTCTTGAAGATTGGCAATGCGACAGTCTGCGTGGATTATTGTGGATCTGTAACTGCTATGCATTCTCATTGTATATCTGGAATAGCGAGGTGTAGATGAAAAAGCTCCAGCAACGCCTAGGGTGTACATATATTGAATATCGTGATTCAATTATTCCATCTGGCTTTCTGGGAGTAGCTGAGACTCTTCGCGTATCTGACGTACATCGAGGGATTCAAACAAACATCAAATAACATCCGCCAGATAATAAGAGAGTGAAAATGTAAAAGGTAAGGCTAGGATGGACTCGTCCGAATTCAAGTCCAATGTTAACTAAAGAGCGTGACACGATGAAAAATGGATAAGTCCGGAGCTCTATAAAAAAAAAGGCTTGCCCACTAACTAAGGGCCGGAAGCAAAGGCAGGTGGTATCTTCCTGGTCCCTTCGTTTGTAAGAGTCTCTGTTGCTTGTCTTGACGTAGCCAGCTATTATAATGGTTTGTTTCTTAGTAGTGCTAATGAGCACTCATCAGTGTCCCACAGAATATAATAATCCTCTTCTATTTGATAAAATCATATGTTGCATTGAAATCTAACGAGCGAATGATGCCATCAAGTAATTTCATATAAGCCAGAACCAATGGAATGACAAATAAGCCTCATTCCCAAGAACAGCAAGCCCCCGAACACAGTCTCTCTTTCGTCGGAGGCTAGCCCTGCAGAACTCCTCCTAGGAGTAGTAGCAGTAGCAGCGTCTAGAATCTAGTGTCAGCAGGCGCTCTTGTGTAAGCCGCAAACAGGGACTCACTGCCAGCCCAATCCGCCGCATTCACCTTTCTTATAGTAGCCGCTGTCGCCCTTGCATTTCTTGCACTGTAGACGGGTTAGCAGTGCCTTGAAAACTACCTCTCTGGTATCATACGCGATCATTGCACAGGTCTCCTCCACCAGTTCCAAGGCAGACATCGTCAATGTTGCAGGCACGCGCTTGCAGAGTGTGTGTCTGATGTTCAGAATCTACAGCCGCACTGTAAGCCGAGAGGGCAAAGATGGCGGTGGCGTAAATTGCAGACAGCTTCATTTTGTATGCTGATTGAACTTGAACTTGGTCACAGGCTGGGAGATTGCGTTGTCGGTTTGATTGAAATTATCGATAATGGATATTGTACGAAGACCTTGAGAGGGCATCGGGGCTACTATTTATGTCTTTGCTGGTGTCCTCGATGCCTGAGTATTCCCGGACCAATACATTCCCATTTCTATCTATATCGACGATCTGTTATTCTCGAATGCATATGAACGCTCTATCAGAAGCATCTAGCGTCGCGAACGAATTCCTAAAGAAGTAAACATCGTATTATGGTAGACATATCACTCAGATTATGATATCAGGGTTCGTATCGTAGCTGTCGATCATTCTGGGCAATTCACGATGTGGCTGCCGCTTGGTTTTTGTTTAGACCTTAGATCGACACTCTCAGCTCACTCAGCCTCTTCCGAGACGTGAAAGGCCTTTGGGTTTACTCGTGTTGCTTCTTTTTAAGCACTAATTGAAGGTGTTCAAGTCGATTGTCATTCATGACTGGAAAACGTTCTACGCCTCTGCGAGGTTGGCATTACGTATGTGATAATGATCAGCGACATTGCAGGAGACAGGTTGTGTTTGTCATGTACCTAGAGGATGGAGTGTGCATTTAACGGGAGGATTTATAGGACTTATACCTTCTTTGCTTTTTTGATCGTTGCGTATCGGTTTTTCTTCCTTGCTTATGATCAGATGTGTATAGTATAAATTATAAGACGGTTAAAATCCAACAGCACTGTTCGCACCTAGCAAATGGTTATTTTTAGCCCAGATCCAACTTGGCCCCTACTGATCTCCAGATTCGGTATCAATTCACGAGCGTTCCTGGGGCCAAGACCTGATCTCGATTTATTCGACATTTTCGCCCGTACATTTCGAAATACGAGCCGCTTGTCGATCTTGATTTCCAACGAACCACTGACAGACGTGGCCCCCTTCGGTGTATACGAGAATGAAAAGAGGCTCTCGTGTTCGCGGAATACCGCCATCTTGGTCAGGCACGAATCTATACAGCGAGCCCAGAATAAATACCACCTCGTTGAACTGGGGTCAGGACGAATATCTCCAGCGATCTTTACTACTCTCAGTTGTCATACTCTCCCCACTCCCATCTCAACCGCAAAGAGTCTCCCATGAAGTTGTGCTGGGCTCTTCTCACCCTGGCGTTCGCCGTGTGCGTTCACGCCAGCTCATGGCGCGCTTACTATGGTTTATCCACCTCTGCATACCAAGCCAAGTTCGACGAAATGGTCGACCAAGGCTACCAACTTAACTCTGTCGACGGATACGAGAAGAACAAAGAGCCAGCCTTTGCTGTGATCTTTGAGAAAAGACCCACCATTGCCTGGCGGTCGCATTCAGGCATGACATCGGAGCAATACCACCAACGGTTCACGGAATATCTCGATCAGGGATACCATGTCGTCCAGGTGAACGGGTACAACGTCAAGGGGAAAGAGTACTACGCTGCAATCTGGGACAAGGGTCCCGTTGGACCCTGGATCTCTAGACATGGCATGTCTGCCGAGTGGATGCAGAAGTACTTCGATGAGTACGTCGAGGCAGGATATCAAATGATTCATGTGAGCGGATACGAGGCAAAGCACGAGGCTCGGTATGCTGCGGTATGGGAGAAGAAAGACGACCAGACGGAGTGGGTGTCGAGGGGCAACTTGACCGCGTTGCAATATCAGACTACCTTTGATGAGTACGTGCAGAAGGGGTACAGGCTGGTCCAAGTCTCTGGTTATCAGGTCGATGGAGACGTATATTACTCGGCTGTTTTCGACAAGACTGCCTCGGGTCCGTGGGTAGCTCGCCACGCACTGGATTCGCCGACGTTTCAAGCAGAGTTCGACAAGTACAAGAGCCAGGGTTACGTCCTGCGGACCTTGAGTTCCTACAATGATGGAAATGAGCCTCGCTTTGCCGGGATCTGGGTGAAGCCGACCTAAAATACCCGCGGTATCTAGCAAATATAAGCTTGTCTGGCCCATCCTTTTGTATATAATCTTCAGAATCAAATTATTTGGTTGGATATCGCGTTGCTTCCGGGACCGTATTCTCTATAGATCACAGGTCCACCGATATCAGCATCAATGTGCGTTCCTGGAGCTCAGAAGCTATCACTCCGTGGCGAATCTGTCACCACCCAAGTTCTTGTTTCGCGAATCATTCCAACCTGACTCGACTGACTGGCCGCGTCCCATGCGGGCGAGGTAGAAATAGTTGTCTGATTCCCCTGTCCGGGAGGAATGGGAACCAGGTCGTGAGCGTCGCCAGATCCTGTCGTGTGTTCGGTCCGTTGCGAGCGTGAATTCGAGTATTTGCCGTATGTGGATTGATATTCGGCACCGGGAATGCGCATGCCGTTGGATTTCATCTGGTTGAGGAAGGGTTTCAGCTGTCCCCAACACGCAGTAGTAATGCTCATGCATTGAACAACCTCCATAGCGACGGTGTTGAAGCAGTAATCGTAAGTCGGGTCGGGTAGCGTTGCGACGTCTTGAATGAGAACCAGCTCGGCGATAATGGAACCGATCACCCTAGCCGCAAGCTTGGTCGTTAGAACGGTGTCTGCCTAATACTCTCCAAGGAAGGGACGATTTCATACAGCACACGAGTTAGGAAGATACTGGCGAATAAAAACCGCTTTTTCACGGGCGCGTGAAGTCGCACTACTAGAAACAAAGCCTGGAGGATGATAGACAGATCGGTGACTAAATTTGAACCGCAAAAGAAGTAATGCCAGGCAACCTGTCCGAATAGCGCAGTGAGCAGTATATCCCCTCATCTTGCCCACGATGGCTTACCATGTTAATGCAATTCCCTTGTCGGTAATCCCATGTCCGAGGAGGCTGGCATTGAAAGGCCGTCGCAAATAGCGCAGTGACCGCCCATGCCGCCGTTAATATCTGGACGGTATTCGAAAACAGGTGATCACGCGGCTTGGGCGAGAGGTTCCGGATGAAAAGACACAGCGATAGCTTTGATGTGTATAGGCTAGCGACATAGAGGATGGTCGCCGAGTATTGGGCCTGTCATTTTACCGGCACCTGTTAGAGCCAGGATTGACCTGAAGATAGAACAAGGATGAGAAGCGACAAACCTTCATAACGGCATCAAATCGCTCCTCGGAAATCTCGTCGAAGCGGTCTCCATATCCATTTGCCACGGCCATGGAGACTGCGACCGACTGGGCGGAGCAGAAGATCTGAACCGGTCATTAATGGAGTTTCGGGAGGATTCTCAGGGACCAAGCAGATAGACCCATACCAACGAGACGATTATCAGGTAGTCATCGCTCGTGAACCGATGGACGATCCGATACTTGCTAATCAACCGCGACAAAACGCTGAGAATGGCCGCTGTCAGAAGCGCCCACGTCGAGGCGTTCACTGTCGGATTTCTGCTTCCATCTGCAAATCGTCCCATGAAGGGCAATGCTGGGTCGCTGCAGCAGCATCTGGAGACATGTTGCGGTCTGCAGAGCTGCCCAGATGCCCCTGACTACACATATCGCCCAGCCAGCCTCGGGCGTACTTTCTCGATCTCACGCCCCCTCTTTCGAGGATTCTCGCGCTTCGTTTTTTTGTTTTTTTTTTTTAAATTACGCCATGCGCCAAGTGACAGGGAAGCGAGACAGGTCTCCGACTGAACGTCCTGGTCCGTTGGCTGGTTTTCGTTTGATTATCTCCTCGAATGGCGGCGTGAGAGAGCTGCGCCGCCCAATGTCCGCCCCCTCACACCCTGTTCTCCCCACGGCGAGCACCCTTCACATTCGCTGGAGGGAACAAGGATCTGACAGGGCATTGAGTCCTTTACCCTGCATCCACTAGACACGACGGACCCTTTTTAGTGCGACGGCGGACGGGAAGATCCTGGTTCGTGACCCGGCCCATGCGCGCCGGCGGCGAGGGATCGTCGGCACGAGCGTGATAACACTCTCACTCTTGAGCCAGGTGCCAATGACACCTATCGCCCTTACCCTTGGCATGGGGGCCCAGCTCATCAAGCCTCTCATTTGGTGCTTGATCAGACAACGCCGATGAGATTCCCGGTAGCTACTGTGTACTCGGTAGCGTGGCGAGGAAGACCAGGTGGGACGCAAGAAAGAGCGATTAAACAGCTAAGATTTCTCCACCGTGCCGACTCCCACTGGGTAGTTTCGCGTTAAATGTAACCATCTGGAAATTCTCGGAGCATAGAGCTGCAAGGGTGCCCTCCCTAGTCGCATGGCTACCCTCGGCCGGTCGTTACTCGAACAGAAAATTCTCCGAAACGACGTGACTGCCACTACGTATTAAGTCCATGTCGCAGAATTTCTTCGGTCGCGTTGATCGACCTCCTTGCTCACTCAACTGCCTGCCGTGTGCAACCCTCGCTCAACGTTGCTTTTTCTCGCAGTCGTTGCCATGGCCTCGTATGAATTGAAAGGGCCATCCGTGAGTCGGGAGGTGCCAGCGTTCGGGTCTAAGGATCGCGACCATCACGAGTTAGTTCGCCTAGGGAAGAAGCCCGTGTTAAAGGTGAGTGCTGCGATCGACATTCTTTCTGCGATCGCCGAGCAGTTTGCTGATGAGGCTGCTTCATGAGCGATAGCGAACCTTTGGGATTCTATCTATTCTCGGCTTCAGCTGCACTATTCTTGCCACATGGGAGGGTCTTCTAGGGTAGGAACTCACATTGGATTGACAAAAGCTACGGTACTAACAGCCCACTGCAGGACGTTCACAATTCCTCTACAGAAGTCGGTTCTTTCCAGTTCTTCCGATTGTGATAACCACTAATCTGGGCACAGTGGCGGATCGGCTGGGGCAGTGTACTCTTACATTCTCGTTTGGATCGGAACAGCATGCTGTTTCGTCATCATTGCAGAGATGGCCTCGATGTGAGTGATTCGCATAGTTTTGCCTGAATCAATGTTAACAACATTTTAGGGCTCCAACATCAGGCGGTCAATACCACTGGTGTGCCATGTTAGCCCCGGCACACATGATGAAGTTCCTGAGTTACATGACGGGTAAGCTTTGACATTGCCCATGATCATAAAGGGATTGAGCTCACGGATGTACGCTGTAGGATGGCTTACCGTCATCGGTTGGCAGGCAGCCTTTGCTTCGGCATCGTATCTTTGTGGCACCGAGATCCAAGGGGTGGCTATCATGGCTTATGAAAAGTACAGTCCGGAGGCATGGCACGGCACATTAATTCTTTGGGCAGCGGTGGCATTGGCTTTGGGAATCAATCTTGCCGGAGGAAAGCTTCTGCCCCGACTGGAGACCTTAGTACTCGTCGTTCACATCCTGGGATTCTTCGGGGTGCTGATCCCTTTGACGTACATGGCTGATCACAAATCGGCAAGAGAAGTCTTCAAAGAGTTCTCTAACGGAGGGAATCTCCCGGCGGATGGCATATCATTCTTCGTTGGCATGACGGGCTGTGTTTTCTCGTTTGCCGGTGGTGATGCAGCGGTCCATGTATGTGTTCCAGTGCTGCCTCGATGTCGATCGCACTAACAGATAGCAGATGGCCGAGGAAGTCAGCAACGCTTCGGTTGTCATCCCCAGGGCTATTCTTCTAAGCGTGCTCATCAACGGCACGCTAGGATTCAGCATGTTGCTTGCCATGTTGTTCTGCATGGGGGACGTGGAGAGTGCCCTAGCGTCTACTACGGGCTTCCCGTTCATGGAAATCTTCTACCAAGCCACGGATTCGGTCTCGGGGGCGGTTGGCATGTCCTCGATACTCTTGATTATCGCCGTCTGTTCAGTGATCGGCATGCTGGCGGCCACTTCGCGGCAGTTCTGGTCCTTCGCCCGGGACCGTGGCATTCCCGGGTGGCGTATTTGGAGTCGGGTAGGTCCTTGGTGACTTTGATTCTTGTTCTATCATTTCTTCCTCCCTGGCTGTCAAGAGTGACCCCTATCCATGACCTACTGACATGGATGTGTTAGGTATCGACAAAAACCTGCCTTCCCACCTACTCGATTCTCTTAACTATGACGGTCTGCTCACTGTTAGGCCTAATCAACATCGGCTCTGCGGTCGCGCTCAACGGCGTTCTCTCCATGGCCGTATCAGGCCTCTACCTTTCCTATCTCACCGTCGGATCTCTTCTGCTCTACCGCCGCTGTACGAGTGCTATCGCCAGAGTCAACGACTCGGCCGATGAGACCGTGAATGTGCCCGGCGCCAAGCTCGTCTGGGGTCCCTTCCATGTGCCGGGGGTTCTCGGCGTTCTAATCAACACATTCGCAGTCATCTATATGATCATCGTTGTTTTTTTCAGTTTTTGGCCGACCGAGATTCCTGTCAACAAGGAGAACATGAACTTCAGTGTGGTCGGAACGGTCGGTGTGGTCATTCTGGCCATCCTTTACTATGTTTTGCGAGCAAGGAAGGTCTACCAGGGCCCGGTCATGGAGGTGGCTCTGACATCGGCATCTGGAGTCTGGAGCTCGATGTGATATCTTGAAAGGCCTGTCGACACTCGATCCTTCGGTATTTCTAGATTGTCTCATCGGCTTCACCGTGTGCTGGAGCAGTCAACATACCAAAAGGAAGAAAAGTTTCTAGTTCATTCATAGCGATCCGAAAGGTCGGGACTTATACTCACATTAATTTTGTATCGATAGAGATTGCGCAGCGCGTATTGCTGGAGAATCAATACCCTTCATGGCCTGGTTTAAATGTGTGAGGGCATGAATATTAGACATGGCCTTTTCGAACGTCCAAGACTTGGAAGTATACATCGTAAGCGTTCTCAGCTCACGATCGGCAATAGCACCGCTAGGCAATCAACGTAACGCCAAATAAACGCCGGGGTGATGAAACAGGGATCGACTCATCAAACAAAGAAACGCCCTTCAAATTTGACTGCGGCCAAATGCCAAGGGGAAGCTCTCGGTGGGGGCCAGCCTCGCGCTCGGTTCGCAAGGCGCTTTCATTCTGATCACTGCCCGTCATCACTCTTGACGGTCGCCCAGCGTCATTTCATCTTCATCCTTCCCCCATATTTTTACCCATTCTTGTGAGAAGATAAACCCTCATATCATGTCGTGGTTATACCCTGAAGACTTTGGGGAGGAGTACCGCCGCCAGGCTCAGTTGCTTCGACTAGCCGCCCTAGCCTCGTGCTTTCTAGGCCTCATCTTTCTCGTCATGCATCACGCAAGTCCTTACACGCTCCCGGTAGGAAACCCCCTCCGCCCAAGAGCATCGCTGTATCCGACTCCACGTTGGAGAAGAAATGCTGATGCGTCGACACGCAGTACCTCCTCCCCGTCATCTGGTCCGTCGTTGACGGCACGTCTCTGGCTCGAGAGAAAACCATTCACCCGCTAATCCGAGCCATCTGCGACTTCCTCTCGGCCTTCTTCCTCGCTTTCGATATCCCCATCATGTTTCTCATGGGCCTCCTCTATATGAGCTTTCTGACATTTGTCATGGGCGGATTGTTCATAGCCGCCGTGTATGCCTTGTCCTTATTACCGCCGCGGATCCTCCGCCTCGCGACCGTCAAGAAGACTGACTGACGGGATTGGAATACAGGGCTACCCACGGTTTACTATCCTTCCGCGCCGGACTGGAGTTTTGGCGGCAATCGCGAGTTTTCGGCAGCGTCCAGTTGCCGGTGTAGGAGTGTCCTGGGGATCCTGGGTACCTATACTTCCGATGGCAGGTTCTGGTCGGCGAGAAGGCAGGTGGACGGGGTTTGTCACTGGCTGCGTCCTGCGACATTCCGTATAGGTAAGGTGTGGTGTGTTGTATATGATATGTGTCAGGCATATACGTACGGCGATGATATGACGACGGTCTATAGATCGAATTCATCGTAGTCAACTCAATTCGGACTCCTCTCGAGCCACGGGAAGATAGTGAACATTCGGTCCAGTTCTGACGTGACGGACTGTCAATCATGGTAGGCATTCATGCGTTGGTTCTCATGTCTGGTAGACCTGGTCTCGGTGCTAGTAGAGTAAGGCGATCAGACCGAGCGAGATGTGTCGATGGTGTCGATGGTGGGAGAAGGAACTGGTTTTGCTTCTCGAAATGATGAACTTATGATGAACTTGATGAATGTTTATGCGGAGGATGACTCAGCCTTGTGCGGACTTCCCAATCAGGTTAGCTTACTGGCTGACCTGTTAAGGATGCCTGAATCTACAGGTGTCATTCTGCGCCCGGAGAAAAGAGTCCAAGAAAGGAATAACATCAACAACAACAACATAAAAGCATAGATATCGAAGACAAGATCACTAGGTTGACCTGATTAGGGTCTGCTATCTTTACAACACGGGCCATTCAACATTTCTACACATCTAGAAGCTGTTGTCCATCGATGTTCACGATATATATCGGGGTTGAGTAGATTCCGTCGACGTGTCCCCATTGCACATAAGTTGGGAGATACATATTAAATTACCTGCTTCTGCGAGTACAATGACATATCTAGTAATATTAAATACCATTTGAATAGCTTCTATAATATTATCCATGAATATTAAAATGTCTATCTATAAGTCCGCTCCCTCGAGCATACAAATGTACATATTGAACCAGACATTACACAACCCCCTATAATCTACAGGTACACATAGCAGAAAGGACCACCGGTCGTATCCAGTAGCTCTCGAATAGTCCGGCGAGGCGCCAGCGTGGGCATATCAACGACGGTGTCCAGCGTAGTGTCGTTGCCGGTGGGATCGCCGAAGCCCGGCAGGATCGAGGGACCCTTGACCACGTACGTGCGGTTGCGAGGGTCCAAGTTCTGCCAGGTCCAGAAAACACGATCAATAGCCGAGTGGTGCAGGTAGAAGGCAGGGTCACCGGGAGAGGTGTAGAGATCCTGTGCGATGGTCAGCATTCTCCGTCATGTTGGAGGGTCAGAAGCGTGGGAGAGGGAAACGTACACCACCCGGGTCGCCACCGATGGTGTAGTGACCGCCGCTGTGGATACCGACGTAGCCGGTAGCAGCATCGCCCTGCAGGCGGTTCTGGAAGGTCCAGATGTTGTCGTGGTCCAGGATCAGGTCGCTGATGATCTCCGTCGTGGTCCAGTTGGCCGAGTACTTGGAGATGTCGCGACGCAGACAGCGCGGGTTGTAGTTCAGACCGGTGCCGTTCTGACCCTTGGTGACGTTCAGACTGGGAAGAACAGGGCCCAGGTTGACCGTGAAGCTGGTATTGTTAGCGCCATCGGTCCATGGGGATTGGTGAACGCAGGCAGGAAGGACATACTTCTTGAAGGGGCCCTCTTTCACGCAGCCGCCGCCGTTGGCGGGAGGCAGGGTCAGACCCTGGAGCACCTGGGGACCGTTGTGAGGCACGTAGGCGCCGTCACCCGACATGCTGGTGTCGGAGCCGTCGAAGATGGGCGAGTTCAACGGGTCGGCGGCGTACTTGTTCCAGGCCCAGTAAGGCTGCGAGCCCTTGTAGCCACATTCCTCCCGCAGCGCGCGCTCGTAGGCCCAGGTGAAGTACCGATGCCAGGTGAGGAAGTTACCCTGATTGATCTAAATTAGTGGAGGCGACGGGACACGGACGAAGGGCAAGGGAACCCACCGTCATGTGAATGTACATGGTCTGGTTGATATGCACCGCCACGAAGTCATCGAACCGCGTGCGAGCCCCCGGAGCAAAGTCGGGATCGGACTGCGACGGCTTGGAGATGAGGCACTGCACCGCTTCAATGTACTTGCGACGCTCGTGCTTGCTCAACGAACCCCTGCAGAAAGGGCTGCATTAGCTTCGGCTCGTAAAATCCCGGGGCTAGGGAGAGCGAGGATGAAAATTTCCGGAAGCCCTCACCATTCCCTGCGCACGGTGGCGGTCAGAGGCGTGCAGCTGAGACTGGCCTCTGGGTTGGAGAAGTGATACGACACCTGGTTAACCAGGGCCTTACCGGCCAGGAAATCCCACTTGTCGATGAGCGAGGCAGTCGCCGGCGAGAGAGCCGCCAGCGCAGACGCGACGAGGACGCTGAAACGCATACTGGGTCGGATCCTCCACGAGGATGAAACACAACCGCAGGAAGACAGACGAAAAAAAGGAAAGCAAGGGGAGAGACGGGAAAAGGAACTGATCGCCAGACAAGAAAAGGAGGAAGGGGGAGGGAAAGGAAACAGTGGTTCGAGTCAGCTTTTATGAGAGCAGAGCAACTCCGGACCCGACTACAAAAGAATGGCCATCGATCCGGTCTGGCCGTTAAGCAAAAATATAACTACAAACTAGTACAGTAGTAGGGACTGTTGACTGACTACTCTAGCTAGCACGAGGCGAAATCCCCACCCAATGGCGGAGAAATGGGAGATTAGGAGGTATCAAATCATCAAGCGGACTGCTGCTGCGCAGGATTAAGTTCAACAGAGAGAGAGAGAGAGAGAGAGAGAGCACCGTTAAGCCCGGCATGCGAAAGGCCAGGGCTACAGACGTCTAGCACTCTAGCGTCCACTGCAAGGGTCGGAATTCGGCAATATCTCCAGGCGAAGCCCTAATTCTGGATTGTTCGGATCCTGTGGGACGCCGGCGGTCATTAGCATCTCGCCAGCGATACTATTCAGCCTAATGACTCTAGCTAGGCGAGCAGAGCTAGGGCTCCGGGCTTCGGCGACGCAACCATCTCCTGATTCCTTCTACGTGTCCATGCGCCCAAGGAGAGAACACGCTCCAGCGGATCGAGTACGATCCTGATCTGAAGCACGATGAACTGGTGGAGGGTGGAAAGCCCCCCTTATATCTGATGATCTGAAATTCCTCCCCAAAGGAAGGGGACGATCGCTCTTCCCATCCTGACGATCAGCGCGGGAATTGGGGACCCTGTTGGTCACGGACGTGAAGGATCAGTCCATGATAGTAATGATATCCACGGGCGGAGGGAAAAACCGCGCAACCATGACTCGGCCGGTGAAGTCGACGCTGCCAGATCAATTGCATAAAAATAAGATATTAACCGCAATATCGAAATGCACAAGAGCCACCCGCGTGCACGATTGGGGTAAAGATGCCCAGCCTCGAGGGTTACATTGCCAGCATTCCTCCGAAACACCCACCAGTAGCTTGGGCGAATTGTCCTCCACTCCTAGGCCCTTCTAGCCTGTTAGCACCAGGCAATCTCGGATGGACACCGCACCGCCGACGCTAATGTTCGACCCTGGATCGTCTGCGGATCCGATGGCTTCGAGGGATGGCCGGCCAACAATAACAATCCGCGGACCGGGTCCACTATCGCCACTAGTGCTGGGCTTGCCCGGGGCTAAATGTTTATTTCCCACTCTAACACGCCTTCCCCGTCGCCAGTGGCTGTCCGTCGTCGGCGGACAGGGCATAATTGGCCGCGGAACAGGGGGGTGGACCTGCTACAGACTCCTACCAGGCCACCGTCTCCTTCCGAGTCCACCCTGGGCCGCAACCTTCCAGCAAAGGTTGTTTGGATGGAGTTGGACGGTGATGTCCGATCGCCCGCCGTGATTCTCATGGTCATGGCAGACTCCAGGCTCAGAGTCCAAGTCTGGACTTGTCTCCGCAGGACGAGGTCGGGGACAGTCGGTGGCCTGTCCAGGGACCGATTGATTGGCCTTGATTGGCCACCGAGATTAGTGAACCAATTCGCAATATCAATGGCATTGGTCCCGCTCTTGGCTCTCGCAATGGCGCCAGACACGGATGCAGGCCTAGATTAAAAGACCGGCCTTCATTTCCTTGTCCTGCCGAGGATTCCGTACACAATAATGTTCTGAGTAAGTGCTTTCCTGCCGGCACAGAGACACCAGACAATAAGAATCATAAACAATGGGACCGGAAAATCCGGACCCCTGCTAGATCGGGTTTCAGATGTGGATAGCACGCCAACATCCCTGCACACAGCAGCCTCTAATATCCTCGCGCCGGCATTTCGGCCGTGTTAGGCCTCGTGGCGGACCTTTTGCCATTAATCCCCAATAACCTTCCATGCCTCGCTGTTAAGAATCCTGCGGGCCAGATCCAATCCTTGTCCGCCGAGACGGCACCATGGATGCGCCCACGAGTAATTCAAATGATTCCTCTCAGGCAAATTCAGAAAATTCGGATATCATACGCCCACCGGAGTAGGAAACCTGGGAGAACTCCGTGGGTAATTCACTAGAGTAGTCAGTGGCAGCAGTGTTTCCGGGATTGCTGCCCCCCCCTGGACCTCCCTCGTATTGAGTTCATGCTAAACACATTGTTATTGTTAAGCCATGGCGTAGTTGGTTTTTCCCTGTCGCTTCCTTCATGGAACCTTCTATTTTCTTTTGCAGGATGGTGGCATGATATATCACATTAATTCCGACCTTCCATGCAGGATCCATCCGTGAACGATTGATTTCTTGCACGATGGCGACGATTGCCCTTGCGGCACGCGAGACGCCCACTGAGGGCAGTCGAGCCCCCCATATCCTCTCCATTGTGGGTGCGCTGACCGGTCTGGCGGCATTGTTGGTCTTCTTGCGTTGTTACGTGCGTCTGTTCATACTGCGCAAATTCCACCTGGAGGACGGGTTTATGATTGCATCCTTAGTGAGTCCATACCTATTCCTGCTCGCAATCTGATCGCTGTGAATAAGCGCTAATCCCGAAAGCAAGGCCTGCGCATTTGGTCTCCTGGGCTGCTTCATTGGGGAGACTCATCATGGTGTCGGTAGCTGGTCGAAGGACATCAGTCCGGCAGATTCGGAGAAGTTGAACGAGTACATGTTCTACCACGCCATCGTGATTGTGCTTGGTATTAGTTTGGTGAAGATCTCGATCGGATTCTTCTTGTTGCGTTTTACCTCGCAGAACAAAATCCTGAAGTGGTTCATCATTGGCACCCTGGGTATGTCGTCTCCCTCACACTTGCTCTTCTCTCAACTGACCCGACAGTCTTTCTGGCTTTATTCACTATTGCCTGTATCTTGGCACTGGTCTTCCAATGCTGGCCTGTTGAGGCCGCATGGGACGTCGAGTTAAAGAAGACGGGGAGATGTTACTCGATCGACACGTACCTGCGCATTGGACAGTTCAACAGTGGTATGATTCGTTTCCACTGTATGCCACTTCCAGAGACTGACTGCTCAGCCATCAACATCATCACCGACTTCATTTTTGCCACCCTGCCGGTGTTTATGTTTGCCCAGATTCAAGTCAACAAACGAACAAAGCTCTCGCTCATGGGTATTTTGAGTCTGGGATATTTGTATGCGATGCCCATGTTATGCCCCCTTCCAGGACTAACAATCATCCAGCGCCTGTGCTGCGGCAATTGTCAAAACCGTCCTTCAAAGTCGGGTGTTTGGCGACACTGAATCCTACCGGTATGTCTAAATCGATCCTCGCATTCCGCTTGAGGGATCCCGCTAAACTTCCGGAACGCAGTGAGAGTCAGTATCTCATTTGGAACTTGTATGTCTTTTCCTCGAGTATCTTTTCCCATGTTCCGTGCACCTAACATAACCCCAAGTGTCGAGCTCGCCGTCGGTATCATCGCCGCCTCCTTCCCTACCATCAAGCCTCTCGTGAAGTCCTTCATCGGTAGCACCATGAGCCTGACCAGTGGCCACCGCACCGGCAAACGCACCGCCCACGGCTACGGATATCGCAACCAGGCCTCGGGTTACGCGATGCACTCGATGTCGCGCAGTCGGCCGGACGGAGAGGATCAGAAATATGCCGTCCAGATCGCATCGGTGGCCGACCGAACATCGGGATCGAGCGAGGAGAATCTGACAAAGCCCAGCGGACCGTCGTTTCCGCCACACATCATGCAGACGACGGAGGTGACGGTGCAGAGTGAGGAGGCCGATATGGGCGGCCGGATGGGACCAAAGTGGACGGTCGACGATCGAATATAAGCCTCTCAGAGCATCGCGTGACATGATGGAACTGTATGATAACCTTATGGGTCTAGATGGGCTAAGGAGGCGACGGAGTTGGTGTTGTCACTGGGTTGCTTTTAGGACATTCAGTTTGTATCCAGCGTCACTGTACATAGATATGATAGTACATACATGCATAATTCATGAGATGCACATCACGACCCTTCGGAACTCCACTTGCACATACTCCATATACCTATAGCCGATCTGTCGGGAACCAGATTCCGAGTCGCTGTAGATACTGGATATAGAACCCAACCCCAAGATCGATGACGGAGCAACGGCCGATGCAACCCAGGAATTATGTCTCTCTTAAATGTCGCCGTCGTCAGATACGGATTCTCTGCCAAAACCTTTCATCTGCCCTTCATCCCCCACAAACCCGGGTTTCGTCTCCACGCCATTGTGCAACGGACCCCCCGAAGCGACGATGATCCGCAGAAGGACCTCCCTGGCGTTCGAGTATATCGGGATGCCTACGGCGCGATTCAGGATGAACAGGTCGCCTGGTGATCACATCCACCAACGACACTCACTTCCCCTTGAGTCGTGAGGCCTTGGAGAGGGGAAAGCACGGTGCGCCTCCTTCTCGCCATGGATTGCAACGGCTTGGAACTGACCGAGTGTAGTGATCGTGGAAAAGCCGTTCACGGTCAGCCATGCAGAAGCCGTAGAACTGGTCGACTTCGCGACGAAGGAAAACAAACAGCTTGCTGTCTACCACAGTGATTGACCCCCCGTTCCCGACCGATCCTTTAGCATCAGCACTAACACCATCCCATAGATAGACGGTGGGACTCCGATCATCTGACGGCGCGTGGCCTGCTGAACGGCCCCCACCGACCGCTTGGGCGCATCGTCCGCTTCCGATCGCATTTTGATTGTTCTCCAATTTCCCGCACGGCGACCGAGGCGAAGGGATGGAGACTGACGACGGGAGTCCCCGGGGCTGGGATGTTATTTGATCTGGGAAGTCACTTAATCGATCAGGCAGTGGTGCTCTTTGGGAGGGACTCCAGCGAGTGTGACGGCCGTGTTGCTGGACGAGGCGAATGGTAGAGATGTTCGGGAGGAAGGCTTCATGGATGATGGATTCATGATCATCCTGTAATTCAATGCAGGATTGACTGGTAAGTCACCCCGTTGTTGTATTCCGTGGCGTTCATCGACTCATTTCGCATCAGTTGAGTTGCACGCGACCCAATACTCAGTGAGTGATCGACAGAAACAGTTTGAGATTCTTGGAACTCAGGGCCGCTGGATCAAACATGGGATCGACTGTCAGGAGGAACAGCTACAAGCGGGGATTTATCCGGGAAACGAAGACTACGGCGTGGAGAGGCCAGAGAATCGTGGTAAGTAAATGATTCATCCGAGGGAGGAAGCAATCTGGAGATCCCTCGGTATAGCTCGAAACTGCTAATGTGGGACAGGTCTGCTGCAAGTCGCCCAGCCCGAGTCGGGTGTGAGGACTACGTCGTGGGAGGCAGAAAGGGGAGGATATCATCATTTCTATCAGAATGTGCATGAAGCCATTACAGGCCGAGCTGAGTTGGCCGTGCAGCCCAGGGATGCAGCTTTGGTGATGCATCTGATTGAACTATGTCGGCGGAGTGCCGAGCTAAGACAAACGGTGACGGTCGATCTCTAGCGAAAAGGCTCTACCTATAGTCCAGATAAGATGAATGCTCGAATATGAGATCCCTCGTTCGAAACCCATCGCCCATGTCGATCTTTATGTTGGACCAGCATTCGATTCCCATGCGTTGAGCGCAACGATGAACGGGTTCGTCGGGCCGTCAGTCTTTCGTGCGTGGCTTCAATCATCATTCATTGTTCAACCGTAGGATGCCAATTCCCACGGAAGCCCCATGCAAGCATGGGCCGATGTCCCTGATCTCCGGGGTCTGCTTCCATCGGGGTTCTCGACAACGCAATGATTCGTTCGCATCGCGCAATCGCGAAGAATGTGGGCCGCTTGGTTCTCTGCGTTGGGGAGCTTCCAAGCTTTGGCTTCACTTCGGCACGATCGTAGTCGTAACTATACAGGTCAGTATCTGCTCTTGATGTTTCGTCCCGATGAAGTCAAGAAACTGGCTATTCTCGGCGCCGGTCCTGCAGGCGCAATTGCGGTGGGTGCCTTTGATCAGGACCTCGAGGGCTTTGATGTCATTCCCATGTTTGAGCCCAGAGATAAACTTGATCTGACGACGAGTGAACATAGGATCAAAGATGATGAAAGTCTCCTTCTCTGATCGACTTCGATGCCCTGGCAGCCCGCACAGCAGATCAGCCCCTGGATGTCCGAGATGCGCTCTCTCCCGGCCAGCCTCTCGGTCTTGCCAGCATCGGTTCACTGAGAACCATGGATATCGAAGATGAGTGGAGTACAGAACAACTATGGAACGCGCTGAGACGCAGGAGAGAAGGTAGATTCTACTGAGTAACTTGAGATCCCATCGTAGATGGGCCAAGAAATTTGCAGCCAGTCATCAACGTAGATTTAACCCGTGGAAGAGTGCAAATGAAATGGCTCAAAAGGCCCTGGGCTGCGTGAAGAAAAATATGCAGACCAAGCTATAAATTTCATTGGCGATTGTCATCTGAATGCCGGATGGTATTATGAATCTCGTGTCCATTTGGAATGAAATAATGACTGCCACCCAAGACTTTAGCAGTTAGTACGCTATATGGGCATCTATCACGCCATCGAGGCACGGGGTTGTGAGACCCCTGTGCCAATCCTTTCAAATCCCGGGCCTATTCCTGGGGTATACCTGCCTGGCGTGTATTTATCCAGCTGGACACCTATTTTCCGTTCCCCTTGCTGTTGGGGCTTTTACTGCCTTTCACATGCGAGAAGGACATTTTATTTTCAAAGTATCGTCTCATTCTGCCGATCAAAATGTTGACAGTTGAGCCAAAAAGCGATCTCGAATATTCGGATGGCCCGAGATCTCCCAGCAGCGCATGGACTGCGACGGATGAGCGTCAAGCCCGACGAAAGTAGGCTCTCCTTCTAACATAGCTCTCTGAACCTTCTGGGTCTGATTCGTTTAGGGTTGATCTCTCTGTCCTACCCTTGCTTTTCTTAGGCATGACCGTATTCCAGTTGGATCGCATGAACGTCGCTAGCGCCCTCACTGGAGGCTTTGGCGAGGACATCAAGGTCAACCAGAATACCATCAATCTGGGAAACCAGCTAATGTTTCTGGGAATCATTGTGCTGGAGATCCCCTCTAATATCCTACTGCAGCGAGTAAGACCTACCTCACTCTTCCTCGTTGGAACCGGTTGACACGGTCTAGATCGGCCCTGAGAAATGGATGCCTGCTCAGGTGCTGGCTTTCGGGATCATCGCCATCTTTCAGGTGTTTCTCAAGAACAGAAATGGCTTTTTAGTTATTCGTGCTATTCTCGGTCTCGCGGAGGCTGGGTATATCCCCGGGTCGGTCTACATTCTCTCGACCTGGTATATTGGGCCGGAATTGGCTAAGAGAGTGGCCATTCTATTCTTTGGCATGTTTGGTGGGAATGCGATCTCCCCATTGCTGGGGGCGGGTATCCTAAGACTCGATGGAAGACATGGTCTGAAGGGCTGGCAATGGATCTTTTTAGGTATACGCTTTAAGTCTCACTATTGGGGGGAAAGGCTAAGCATTCAACAGTTGAGGGCTTGATGACGATTGTGTCCGCGATTCTTTTGGTTGTATTCCTCCCACGCAGTCCCGAGAGACCAAAGCCGTTCCTCATCCAACGAGGTATCGTCGCCTTCTCGGAGCAGGACAAGGAGGTTCTCATGGCGAGGATGCCCAAGAATGCAGAGACTCGGCGAAGAACTCTCCCCCCGTCTCTTATCGTCAAGACGCTACTCAACTACCGGCGCTGGCCACACTTTCTATCCACGGCCTGTGTCTTCTCCACGTGGAGTCCACTCACAACCTATACTCCATCGATCATGATGTAGCCTTACCCCCAGTATTCTTCCCCGGGATACTTAGGTTATTCAGACTAACATAGGATGTCAACCAGGGCTCTAGGTTTCAATCGCATTCAAGCAAATGCTCTCAGTGCGATCGGCGCATTCATGACCCTGCCTCTTGTCTTCTTCTTCGCCTGGCTCAGCGACAAGACGGCCAGACGGGGAATCGTTGTTATCACGGCAATATCGTGCTATCTTATTGTATTGATTGTTGCACGATGCGCCCTCCCCTCTGTCGGCAAATGGAGTCGATTTGGCTTGTGGACGGTGGTTAATGCATTTGCCGTGGGGTACCATCCTATCCATAATACCTGGGTGCAGGTCAATTGTCAGGATGCCGGGGAGAGGAATGTTTCAATTGCGTGAGTTACTTCTGGTCTCTTTGGCAGAGAAATGCTGGTTTATGTCATGCTAAAATCACTTTTGTCAGGATGTGTAAGTATTGTTGTTGAGGGAATTTCTGTCAATCCGAGCCATGACTGATATTGAACGACAGGGGTGATGAGTGCAATTGCTGGGCTTATGGCTGGAACGCAGATCTTTCGCGCTGATGATGCCCCAAAGTGAGCATCATCGTGGCATCTCTCGAAAGAATGATAGCTAACAACGGTGATCGTAATATAGTTATCTTCGAGGCCTCAGCATTATGATCGCCCTTGTGGCATCGGGGCTCCTACTGGCTTTAACGCAAGAAATCACCTATCTATTCCTCAACGGTCCCGCACGAAAACGGGGTGAGAAGGTGATCTACGTGCCTTGAAGATAGAACAAGAAAGAGGAATTTCGCTCCTCTCATAGCGAATCAGATTTGTGGAGAGCCAGGTTTCGAAGGTCTTCATTGTCAAGAAATATGAATTGGCACTGACTAACGATCGCAGATGCGAAGAGAAATAGCCACAATAGCTGAATCACAAAAGAGAATCTGGTATCAGACGCCAAATTGAGTCTGTCCAGACGGCATTAAACAAAATTCAAGCTTCCTCGGGCTCATCCTTGACGTTTCCCAAGACCTCATCGTCTTTGATTTCAATCTTCAGGGGTAGTTCATCCACCTCGGTGTCGCTACCATCTTCCTCAGCGGCTTTGCCTTTTCCCGTGCCCGTATTCTTTTTAGTAGGGGTCTTAGGAGTCGAGGCAGCCTTGCGCTTGCGGGGGGTCGAGCTCGGAGTGGTCTTAGGGGTGGTAGAGAAATCGACGGATTCCATCTGGCGACGAAGGCGAACGAGACGGTTTTCGATGGCGCACGGAGTACAGTCTGTCTGGGTTAGCCCTTTCAATACATCAGCTACACAAGCGACAGGAGCTAGAGATGGCGGAGGATTTGAGGATGAAGATGAAGAGTAAAGACGCGACACGAGAGAACAGAGCAAGAGAGCAGTACATACCAGAGCCCATGTACTTGGCCAAAGCCTCGTAATCAAGCTTCATCTTCAGCGGTTTGAACTGAGCTAAGACTCCAAGAAAGAGCTGTATGATTTTCGATTCCACGTCAGTCAAAACTTCAAAAACGATGGGTGGGGGAGTGACCTTAGCATCAGAATCAGCGTTCCAGGTCATAGGCATTTTGATGGATAGTTGACAGATAGTTGATAGACAGTTGATAGACAGTTGATAGACAGTTGATAGATAGTTGATAGATAGTTGATAGATAGTTGATAGATAGTTGATAGATAGTTGATAGATAGTTGATAGGTGGTTGATAGTGTTGGAATCAGTAATGAGATTTTGATGATAGAAGATTGTGAGTGGGAAGAGAAAGATGGGGAGATGAAAATGGAGAGAAGAGGGTGGATGGAGGGTGAAGAGGACAGGTGACAGATCAATAATAACAAAGAGCAAATGACTGCTGGTGCCAGCATTGCGCGAGTCACTTGTTGTTGTGCAGACGATGTCGTTGCATATACAAAGATCAGTGGAGATCTCCGTTCTTTTCCCTCACTTGTCTCTTATTATTCTTTCTGATCTTTCACACTGATATATTGAGCATATCACTATCTTTAAATCCTCATCGATGGCAAGATGTTTCTCTCAATGACCTCCTATCAGGTGTCCTACCCCAACCCCGGTAGCGTTCTCGACACCATCAGCATACGCCCATCTTGCAGGGTTGCTGTTAGTACCACATTCTATCTTCCCTCATCATTCAAAGAGGGCTTTACCAAGATTAGGATGTACAATGAGTCCCGGTTGGAAGGGGTCAATGCTTCTCCTTCTCATCCAGTCAATGATTCTATCCCAACTGAGACATTGATGTCGGCTTTGATCCAGTCCAAAAGGTATTGCCTGTCTTTTATTCCTCGTCAGCGGACATCACTCGCTCCCAACAGTGCTCGAAGCTTACTCGTAACTCATCGCATTGGAAATACTGTGAGATCCGCGTTGCACTTTACTGCTTTCAACAAATATCCCAGGCAATGTGCTGCCTTGTATAAGCGAAAAATGCTGATTGTTATATGACAGGACAACCCATCTCCGTGCGCCCGCAGCTCTTCTTTGTCTTCTTCGCTCCGATTCCCATAGAAATAATCGAAATGAAGAAGTCGATGGGTGTACTTGATGCAATGAATCGAGTGGAACACGGCGACGGATGCGTAATATCCCGATCCGTCGCTTAATTGGACCAGGCCGGGATTATCACGATCATTTTCGCCTATTTCATCTGCGGCGATCCGAATGTTCTGGTCTGTTCCGAGCTGAGGCCCTCCTCGTAGCTAGTAAGGGTTAGGATATGACTTACATTGAATGATCTCCTCCCACGCTGCATCTGACTCGGGCGATGGTGGTCCCATTGCTACACTATCGACGTCGTCGAGGCTCACTGTAGTCAAACCGTCGGTGTCCAAAACTCTAGCTTCCTAGGCGATGCTGTCTTTCAATGGAGCTAAGAAGAGGCTCTATTAGCCATTTGTGCAGGATTAAATATTGAGATCGTTACTCGGAATCAGATCGGGTCCGTGGACGCCATAGGAGCATCGCCTGCTGCCAGGTCAGAACAGTAAAATTGCGGCCACCAGGTTCAAGAATACCAAGGATGAATGCATGCACAGCGCTCTCCAGTTGCGCCGAAGAAACTGCTTTCGATATCTTGACGCACTCTCTTGCTCTGTTGAGGTTGCATCCCCTTCGATATCACGACAAGAAGATGTCCCGTTGCTTCGTGATCCTGGTCCAGACGAGAGTATCTGGCCACCTCGTTGAGACGCATCGTGGCTCTATGTCGAAATCGAGATTAACGAGTCAGACCGGGTGTTTTCTATTCTCGCTGCGATACTTCCTATTACGACTTCCATGAAGAGGACTTCACTTTTTACAACGTCAGGCTGCCCGCTCTTCCTGTTTTGTTGCTACGAATGGTCGGGTCATGATGACCGCAGCATGAGAGAAATACCCGCGCTGAAGGCATCATCTCGTCACCCGGTGCAAAGTACAGCAAAACTCAAAAAGCTTTCCGATCGCATGTTCCATGGCTCGCTAAATTAGGCTCTTGACGAGATGATGCACCATTTACTTACCTGGGTCTAGATCAACTCCGTGAGCCATGGTGTCGCCCGGCTTATCTCAGGTACATGCGTAGTTATCGTATAATCTTGGGGCAAGAATTTCTTAAGACATGTCATGTTTAGCTTTCAGTAGTGGCATGATTCTACTCTGATTAGTGGTAATCGCTGCCAGGTCTTATGTATTTATATCCCGTTTCCAGTCAAGACTGCTGGTGCTTCTTGAATCAATCCCACACATTCAATTCTCCCTCGGTCTTCGAGTCTTCCTCCACCGCTAGTCCAAGAAAATTTCCATTTTGATCACCATGCATTTCCGAGATATTATTGCTCTGACCACTCTTTTGCTGATCGGTGGCTCTGCGATGCCTCTAAACAGCACTCAGGGTCTCAACAGCACTAAAGGTCTGTGCTCTGCTGCCCCAATATCTGTATTACAGGGATGTACGCCCGTGTATCTAGATTTGTTGGCTAAACATAGCTCCTATAGAGCTTGGAAAGATCCACGCCAGCAGCAACACCAGTGTGATTCACACTGCAAAGTTTAGTAAGAAGAACGAGAGCGACCAAGCCTATAGAGGGCTAGTTACTGCGCCTAAGAAACGCGACGAAAATGTTGAAAGCGATCAAGCTTATCGAGGATTGATTATTAGCATTGCGTGATGGCTTGCGTAGCCAATTATTGAAGGTCAGCAGGATCAATAGTCCTGGGAGTGGAAACTAGCTCGCCACGAGGCGTTCAATTTGATTGTTGGGGAAATGCCGATCCATATTTGGCGGCAGCTGATGGGGGCTGCCTGAGGAACATGCTGGTGAAAGATCAGGCGTATCGTTATCATACGATCAATACTTATCTAGATCTTTTCGACTTAAACCGTGTTTTCGTGCAACTTGAATTCTAAAACGCTTCTTGGAAACCACGACAGTAGGATGTCAAAAAATATATCTCTACCTTCAACACTTCACTTACATGTATTTTACTTCGAAACTAGCCAAAGAAACCAAACGTAATTGTATTTATCGGGTAGAGGATCAGTATAGGGGCTTGGTGGTCACCGCAACAGAGCATTGGACTTCACGTTCCTGTCTGCCTTAGGCCCGGTCAGCTGCCCGTGAATGGGAGCAGGACGAGCATAACGAGCATAACAAGCATAACGTGCATAACAGGCATAGGATGATGAGTCATTATGCATGCCGTGGGACCGGCTCCATGGGGCAGGTTGCCCCATTGGGCATTACCCAAACGGGCGAAAACGCTCCGGTCGGCGAGCCAATCATGTGACGGAGGCCCTGCCTTTCCATCAGTCTTGAATCCTCCATCTGCCTTCTTCCTTCTTCTATCTTCAACTTCCCCACCTTCTCAATCCCCTTCCCCATTCCGGATCTACGACTGCTAAATGACGTCTCTGCAGAAGCCGTCGACGGTTAATGACCAAAACGCGGGGAACGCCGATGCTGATGTCGATACTCAATCGTCCGTTGAAGGATCTTATAAGTTTGAGTTGTGTGGAAAGCAATTGGCCTCCCAAACTTCTTGGCAAGCCAGAATCAACAAATGACGCGCCCAGCTGATATCGAGAAACCCAATGACCAGGCCTTTGCAGCCCATGATGAGTATGCCAGCGATCATGCCCTGGCTGTTTTGATAGCTCCGGTGCGACATGACAATGGGCAGCTACGCGACATTACTAAGTTATCGTACGTGTTTGGGGTGGCTTTGTTGGCCTCTTTTGGCGGCTTTTCATTTGGTTATGGTAAGTACGACGCGTTCTGCTGTCGCGGGTGATATGTTAACCTGTCGGCTTTCTCGCCCCCTAGACTAAGGCGTCATCTCGATCATTCTGGCCATGACCCAATTCCGGCAATACTACCCCCAGATCCACCCCGATAGTCCCGACTATGGCTTTCACGTTGGCTTCATGACCGCAATGCCCGAGCTGGGTGCTTTCGTCGGCTGCCTTTTCTTCCCGTCTGTGGCGGATCGGATATCACGGAAATGGGGGCTGACGGTCGCCACCGTATTCTTTGTGGTAGGTGCGATTATCCAGACAGCGGCGTTGAATTACGATGCTCTGGTTGCGGGAAGGTTTATTGGAGGAATCGGCGTGGGTACTCTTGCCATGGAAGCTCCTCTGTATATCTCAATTCGCACCTCCAGCTTGGCGAGGATCTCTATTAGTCCTGGAGTCTATCAGCATCGTGGTGGGGGCTGTTGTGGCATACTGGATCACCTATGGAACCAGGTACATACTCATCTGTAGCACATGGCTTCCAGTCAGAGGTGCGATTCCAGAGGGAAATACTCTTGCTAGAGTATCCAGACTATACATCTAGGCCATTAATCGCCGGAATCCGACAGTGGATCGGGCTTTTTCTACGAAATACTTCCGTCGTACCCTAATAACATTAGCGATTCCCCTTTTCCAGCAGGTATGTCAACTCCCTCAAAAGTGGCTGTACTACCGGTTGACCGTACCACAGTTCTCGGGAATTAATGCATTTGTGTACTATGCACCCACACTTTTCGAAGCTTTGGGCCAGAGAGCGACATGTCTCTCATCCTGTCGGGCATGGTAAATGTTTGTCAATTGATTGGGGGAATCCCGATTGCCGTGTTTCTCGACCGCGTTGGCCGCAGAAGGCTGGCAGTCCTGGGCGGGGTGATTATGGCCATTCTGCATCTCGTGATGGCAGAACTGATGGGCAAGTTCGGTGGTGACTGGCCATCCCATCAGGCCGTCGGTTGGTTTTGTGTGGCGTTAATTTGTATTCACCCCTGCGAAAGAAATTCATTACCATGGCTCGCTGACAAAAAAAAAACCGGCAGACTTGTATGTCCTATCATATTCCATGTCTTATGGACCTCTTGCCTGGGTCCTGACAGCCGAGGTTTTCCCGAGCTCCAAGCGTGCGAAGCGGGTCGGAGCTGCGACGGCCATGATTTGGCTGTCCAAATTCATAATCGGGGTTGTCGTTCCCGAGATGCTGATCAAACTGGGCTGGGGCAACTATCTCTTTTTTGGAATGGTCTGCCTTGGAGCGGCCGTATTTTCGTATATCTTTGTTCCCGAGACATCCAATTAGTCACTAGAGCAAGTGGCCGAGCTCTTTGGAGACAACACACGGGGCTGAGCGTGACCTGCATTGTAGGATCGCGCGAGAGGTGTTACATGATCCGACAGGCAATGGTATGGCCCCATCCGGCAAGTCGAACCAGAGTGGGATCGTAAACTAGATACATCAGGCACCACTTGCCTGTTTCACTGTTCTCCGACGTCAGTCAATTCAAGCATCCCAATGACCATGTCTACCCCGTTCAAGTTCAAGTTTGCCGCCGCTAAAGCGCCTGATTTGTAAGTCCGGTTCCGCCTGTCGATCCCTATGCTCGGACGGGCTTTCTTTAGGGCAACCCCTCTTTGGAACTGCCGAGTTCCGTCTCCGGTTGTAAAGTGACTCATGAAGGTTTGTCAAGATGTGTAGGCCAGAAGGCCCGAGGGGGTCTGAGGTGGAGAACCATGGCTTGTTTCCCCGGCTGAACGCCCGGAACCTTGAGTGCCTGACAAGTGACAAGACCGGCTTCTAATAGCAGGCTGTGAGCCAAGGCTGTGGCATGATACGCTACTCAAGAACGCGACTGTCATCTGCCCCGTGCAAGCAACGTAATTCGAGATGAGTAGGGTGGGGCCTGGTCCATCTGGAATTGCTTCAGCATGGCTTAAAGCGGGGTTCTTGAGCGACATAGGACCATTTTCTGCGCATAGTCCGGAGTACAGGTTAGGGGGTGCTTTGCCGACATGCCCCCTTTCCCCGGATTTGGGCGTGTGGGGTTTTGCGGAGTGTCGCTGATGAGAACGTGGGGGCAAAGAACCCAATGTGGGGATTCCTCAGGGAATCGGTTCTACGTCGTATGCTGGACATTCAATACTTCCCCTCACAACTCTAGACATTCCTTCCGTCATCTCAACTGAATATGCCGATGTTTCCCCGGTGTGAAATGTTGCACTCGACCCATGACGAAGTTGGACAGCAGCGTCATTGCTGCCAATCCAAGCGCGTCGGTTCAAACATAAATAGCCGGCGAAGGCCAGGGACAGAGAATAGGTTAGTGCACAGTGTTTGCGAAAGATGCGCAGTATCGCCGGTTTTGTAGTCCTTCTTGGGGTGGCATCCCTCTCTCATGCTGCCCCGGCACAGTCAAACATCACCAGTGACGCCTATTTCTATGGACAGTCTCCTCCCGTTTACCCCTCTCGTGAGTGCTTTCTTCCCTGGTCTGCTTTGCCAGCTAACCGATACGTACAGCTGAGGGCTCTGGCACTGGATCGTGGGCTTCTGCCTACGATAAGGCGAAAAAGCTTGTCGCCCAACTCACTCCCGAAGAGAAAGTCAACTTGACGGCCGGTGTGAGCCCAAACAATGGTTGTTCCGGAGCCATTGCGCCGATTCCTCGCTTGAACTTTCCTGGCTTCTGCGTCTCCGATGCGGGAAATGGCCTGGTATGTGCTGGACCATGCCATCAAAACCACAGGTCAACTAACCTCGCGCCCACAGCGCGGCACAGACTACGTAAACGCGTGGTCTAGCGGTATACATGACGGTGCAAGGTTGGTTCTCAATAAAAAGGACCCTTTTTTTTTTTTTTTTTTTTTTTTTTTTTTTTTTTTTTTTTGGGGGGGAGAAGAGATCATGGTAGGGGTGTGGGTTAGGTGGGGCGGGGGAAACAAAAAACGGAAGGGGGGAAAAAAAAAGATGGGTTTTTTAACAATCACCAATGGATAA